ATAGCTATCCTCAAAATTCGTTATTTCGCATGTTGTTCGGCGCCATTGCATCCACCGCCTTGATTGCTTGATCGCCGCTGTCTCCCAGCCACATTAAGAAATCAAAACAATGAACTCTCATGCAACGCCACGTACTGCCTTTCAAGGGCGTTCGTTAGGTGGCTCGGGGCTTCCTCCGCAGTCGAGGCAGCCAGTTGCTCCTCAGGTGTCCTCAAATGAAGACTATAGTACAATTCCGGAGGAGGACCGCGAACATATTGATGAAGTTGTAGGTCGAGCCCGAGCCGCCTTGAGAAACCCTCCGCTCACAGTTACTTCTGCCAGTTTGATTTGATGGACATGAAAAAGAAGGGATGGCTCAACAGTTACGAATTCAGACACTCGCTAGCAGCGCTGGGCTTTGATATGTCTAAGCCCGATTACTTCAGAGAACTACAATCATACGGCTCTGTCCCTCCTGAATGGCAAGATCCTCACAACTGCCCTGTCAACCGCCTCTATGTTTACCTCGACCAATTCCGATTATGCGCTGCCAAGTTGCTTGCCAACCGCGACCCCAGACAAGAAGCGACAAAAGTGTTCAACATGTTTGATTACGACGGAGATGGTGTTATTTCCTTTGAAGACATGCGACGGCTAGCTTCCGATATCAAGGAAGAGAGGACCATGACAGACGAGGAAATTCAAAGCATGATTGAGCATTTGGATCACGAGGGCAAAGGCGGTGTAAACTTGGAAGAATTCATACAGATGATGGAGGAGGCTGGTTAAGTCCAACCACAGCAGCTCAAGGAATAGCACAACACCAGCCGTGCCAAATCATGACAGTGAAAAAGTCCGGTGCAAGTGGCATCGCTTGGGGTTCACACATCAACCACGCCTGTCGCGCTTTGAGATCGATGTGTGGGCTTGCAACATTGAATCTCTATCTTGAGCCGATAGGTGGTTGTCGTAACAAATGAACGGACACAGCTGTCTCAGAATCATCCTCGCGACCACACAATTGTTCCGAATACACGAGTCTTGGCTGGCCGAGTTAAGCCACATTGCCAGACAAAGAATGATTCAAACAGCGACCTTACAAGCGATTTGGGTACATTAGTTAGCTGCTGGTCGCATTAAGCATTGAAAGAGAAAAAGGGAATGGCGTAATATGGCTACAACGGAGTCAAGGGGTAGATTTCAATAAGATCTAAGAATTGTTTTTTTTTTGAATGCGCCAGGCGCGCTGTCTAAAATCCCAGAGTCCATCACAAAAGCTTTCCCATTCTCCCATCACAACTAAGCCACCCAAATACCAGACTCAACGATGGTCGAAAACCATAAAAATGTACCGAGAACAGGGGAATACCATCCTTCGCCTGCGCAAAAAACGGGAATCGGGTTCAAGCCGAGATATGAAGATGAACGTACAACAAAGAAAAGTCAGGGGTAATCAATCAAACCATCACACAACTAGCTGGTCACCGATATAAGAGCGTAAATTTCGATGTAGGAACTGAGCTTAGAACTGAATCAAGTCATGGTTCTGCTGTTGTTGCTGTGGTGCCTGCTGATGGGCAAAGGGGTTGTTCGTCTGGCCATTCATGCCAGCAGGTCCAGTCGCAGCAGGCATCTGAGCGCCGTAGTTGACTGTGGGCATACCTGTGAACTGCTGTCGAAGGAAGGGGTTGTTGCCAGTAGCCTCAGCGTTAATACGAGCAACTCCTGCACCGGCACTGTTGACGAATGTGCCAGGGGCTGTGTGTTGGGCGGGAATACGAAGGTTGCCTGTGTTGCCAAAAGTGTCCATGCCGTCACCGCTCGCAAGCAGAGTGTTGAGTCGTGTCTCGTGCTCGTTCATCTCCTTTTGAGGAGCGGCGAATGAGGGTTGCGACTGAGGGAAGCTATTTTGCGATTGCAGTGGGAAGCTGTTCTGCTGCTGGAGCTGGGGCTGAGTCTGAGGCTGGTTGCCAAATGAGTTAAGGCTCTTCTGTTCAGGAAGCGCTCCTAGAGAGGCAATAGGGTTTGGTCGGGCGGATTGAGGACGGCTGAACTGGGCGAAGGGGTTGTTGGAGCCAGTGGGAGTTGGTTGCAATTGCTGTTGACTGTTGTTTGTTGCCCAGGGGTTGTTACTACCAGGTTGGAGAGTAGGTTCAGGGGAAGCAGGTGATGAGAACGACTGCTGCTGGGGCTGTTGCTGCTGCTGTTGCAGATAAGGGTTGAAGCCTGTGGGCTGGGGTTGGAAACCTTGTTGGTTTTGCTGCTGTTGCTGCTGACCATAGGGATCGAAACCCATGCCTGTCTGCTGGCCGTTGAAGCCAGTGTTGTAGTTTGGCTGGAAACCAGTGGGTTGAGTCTGCTGGAAGCCAGTGTAGGCGTTGTTCATGTAGCCAGTTTGTTGAGGTTGGTTCTGCTCGATAGGGTTGGCAAAGAAGTCAACAGGGTTTCCTTGCTGGTATCCTTGGTTGAAGCCAGTGTACTGTGGCTGGCTGGTTTGCTGCTGAGGCGTGGGATCGTCGTCGAAAAGAGAGGCAGCGTTGCTGTTCTCGAGCTCCCTGCGCCTTCGTTCTTCCTCTTCCTCACTAAGCTTGATTGCTTTCGCCAAGTCGTCATCGTCGTCTGGTCCGTTCTGTCGGCTCTCGCGCTTCTTCCTATCTTCCTCCTCCTGGTACTTGCTTGCCTCCAGAGCTAGACGGTACTCAGCATCTTCCTCTTCGTTCATTTGTCGTCTCGGCTGCTGTCGTCGGGTTCCGTGGTTCACCGGCTCAGCATGCTGAGGAGCAAATTCTTCAAGGCCAGTAACGCGCGACTTCCATGACCTTCGGTCGCTTCGCTCGGCTCGCAGTCTCTCTTCGTCCAGAATGAGTGAAGTTAGCTCCTTGGCGGCAACTCGGACTGACTGGGCGTTAGTGGCAGCTTTAAACGGCTCATATACAACACTGACCGTTTTGGCCGACATCGCGACCGTCTTCATCAACATATTGGAACTCTCGCAGAGTCTTGATAATATAGATACTCTGGCGAGCCCATGTAACGACAAGCTCTGAACCCTCGTGAAGACAATAATCCAGAACCTTGAGGGCTTTAAGTACGTGGCGCCAATTCTTTCCCTTGTCGTTCAAACGTTTATCGATCATGTCCATAATCTCGTAGAACTCGGTGGATCTAATCGCGTCATGCCAAGTCAGTACTTCCCATCATAGTAGGTAGTTGATCAATGCGCGGGCTGATACATACGTGTTGTATGTCATTTGAGCAATCTCGCTCATTTGAGTGCCGGTCGGGCCCCATGGGTCATTACTGGTAGCTACATGTCACTGTCAGTGGCCATGTTCCAGCGAGGCAATCGGGAACACAGGGAGTTCTGACCTTCGCGGACCTTGACCTGGGCGCTAGAGTAACCCTTGGTCACATTTTTGACACTTCGCATTACCTTCGACATGATGGGCGATTTGTGATAGTGACCTTATAATTTCCTTGGTGAACTGGATGCGTTGTGAGCGCCAATCGATCGGCCGAGGTAGGATATTCCTGTGTGATTCGATAAAGCTCGGAAAAAGTATTGGCCTGGTCAAAGTTTACAAGCGACGACCTTTGCGACACGAATCCGACACGCGCCAGTGAGACGGCGTCAACGGAAGTAGTGCAGGGAGGGGGGTTTGAGGGGGTTGAGCAAGCTCCGAGGATCACGAGATATCCGCTCTGATAATTGCGTAGCCTTTGCGACAAGTCTCAACCAAAAGAAAAGGAATCAGTCACCGTTTGTCTGAAATTTGGCAATCAAGAGGAGGACCGTTTGTGGAGGGTGGTTGGAGGACACAATCGTGGGGTGATTAGGTCTCGATTTCAAGAGGTCGGGGAGACCGATCGGACACGACGTTATAAGATGAGGAGCGAGTAGGAGGAGGGAGGCGAAGTGACAAAGTTTGAGAGGCGGCGAATTCAAAATTGGAGAGAATTCTGATGGTGCCGTTTAGGAGTAGAGCACAGTAGCGATTAGAGGAACAAAAAATGCACTGCTCTTTGCGCGACTCGGAGCTGCAGAGGGAAAAGAGTGAGTGCAGGATGATGAATGAATTGGCGCTCTCATGCGGATTGGGAGCGGCGAGCATGGAACCAAGGCCTAATGGACGGCATGGCATGGCACATTGTGGCTCTGCAAGCTGATTACGTATCCATTTTCACTTGCCAGCTCAGATGAGCCTATACAAGCTGTGCCAAGATTTGCGGGGTTCTTGGGGTTTGCGTGTGCGTATTTGAGTTGATGCTGTCAGTGCTTTGCGTGAATATTCTCTAAAGCTTCTGTTTCTTCCACTTGAGGTAATAAACCCCAATTTGTTCTTCTGTTGAGGACTCTTCAGCACTTCAAGAACCTTCGTCGACTGTGGCTGAAATTTGGCTTGCACAGGGTGTCAGAGCGTCTCTTACACCCGCTGGCCCCAATAGGAAACACATACGTCACGCTCCCGAGGGACCCTAGCCGCAGTTGGTGTGTAACAGAAGAAATGGCCGGTTCTAGGAGTATCATAATGCTTATATTAACTTAGGTAAAAATATATAAAAATGATCTACTATGTTTCTTTATACTCTAAAGCTATATAAAACCTTCCTAATTCAATGCAAGTCTTTTCAAAATTCTACATAAGACCGGCCATTTCTTCTCTCATCTCGGGGTCGCATCCAAGTTGTGATATTCATACATCCTTACCCTGTAGAAGTTGATCGCACATGGTTATATGGGCATTGCAAGCCATATTTTGGGGCAATTTGGGGTATTTATTAGCAATTAGCTTTGCAGTAAAACTATCCTCTCAATATGAGATACGCATGGTGTCAATCTGAATACATATTTTGCGTCTCAATCCCGAATATGTCTCCTCCTCTCACCGAGACCCTGAACTAACTCCGCTGCCAAACCAAACCAAATCATGGTAATCTCGGTCTCAATAACCTCTCCCATTTCAAAAGCAAATAATTCCCGAAATTCCGTGCTTCCTGTAGCCCACAAATAGCAAAATTTAAGCTGGGTCAAGTTCCTCCTCCACGGTCATCTCAGCACCGTCACCGTCACCGTCACCGTCATCGTCACCATCAGGAAGACGTGGCCGCTTGGGGCAACTTCCCAAGAGCTGGATGTCTTCATCCTCATCCTCATCCTCACCATCATTCTCGTCATCGTCATCCACGCTGATGAAGCTCCATTTTCGCTTGGTTACTGAAAAATAGCTGCTAGAGCTCGAGCGTGAGGACGGGGCCGGGGAAGAGAACGACACCCCCATCCGTTCAGTGAGGTCGATCGGCGAGGACCGGTCTCCTGCCTGAGGGTTTAGAGCCTCATAGGGGGTAGGGCTCACAAACATGCTACTGTCAGCGCGTGTCTCTCTCACCGGGGTTATTCCATCCTGGTTAGCGAGAGCTGGAGGAGTTGCCCGGGGGGGAGACGGCGATTCAACTTTGGTGGTGAATATAGGTTGATGTTCTCGTTGGGGACTTCGAACAAACAGAGAGATGGAACGGTATCTTCCATCCTGGGGTCCATCGTCGTCCTCATCATCGCTCATTAGGTCGATTGTTTGTCCATTATCTGTCCATACCTCCCCGTCAGCACCAGTGTTCGGCTTCTCCTCTTGTTCGGGGTCGTGATTGGACAGAACGTCAGATATTGTATCGATCAGTTCTTCTGCCACCTCATCCAGATCGTCTGGGCTCCCGTGTCGCTCATGGCCGTGACCATCCGCAGCATCATGTTGATGGTTGAAGTGTGCACCTGCGGCGCCGTCACCACCGTCATCGTCACCATCGTCACCATCGTCACCATCGCCATCGTCCGTGTCGCCCCCCATATTTTCATCAGAATCTCTGTCGCTGGCATCGTCATGAGATTCATCTTCGGAGTTATCAGCCTGCTCCAATGCGGCCTGGGGCTGGGGGTACAAATCAGGAGGAGGCGACAAGAGACCCATCTGCCGGGGCTCTGGGTTGAGGATTTTCTCAAGCCGCTCAGCGAGTTCGACGGAAGGACGAACGTTCAACAATGGAGCTAAGAATCGAAGCTGGGAGAAGTGTTCGTCATTTAAAGACTTTTCCCTGCGTACAGACTCGTTGATATCACGGACAAAAGTCCAGTCACGAACTGGCATCTTCACGCCATCATCTCGCCACATGTCGTAGTCGAAGAGGGTTATCTCCCGGATTCCACGAAGGCAGTATAGATAATCGGCACCCTGCAACGTGCGCAACGCACGAAAGCGGCGGAAGTTTGGCTGATATGCTGTCTTCTGCGCAAGGAACTCCACGATTTGTGGCGGCTCGTGTTTGCGCCGCATATATTGCTTGGAGGACTCAGGCAAATGGATAGCAACCGTCTTCAATCGACAGGCTTCGGGCAGATAGGCCAGATCGTGAGTCCGGCGAGATGTGTACTTGCCTCTCTGGTCAATCCTGTACATGAGCCTGTGCGAGCCCATCCACAGCAGCTCGATGTGCTGCAGATGTTGGAGCTTGCATCCGATTCTGTTCGCAAAGCGACCCTACTCGCCAATAGAAGAGAAAGCGAATGTGTTTGCTCCATAGAACAGGCTCGCACCTAACATGTGCCATTCCTTGCTGACCATAAGAGGAGCAAGGAGTTCCTGAGGATGAATCGCCCCAAACGTGAGAGAAACTTTCTCTCGCCCAATGTGGAAACGATGGAGCAGTGAGACATTATTGTTGCAATTCCGGTCAATTCGTTTTGGCTCGAAGAAAGGGTCCAGACGGGAGATGGCGTGAACAACCTCTCCATCAAAAACCAGAACATACTGAAGGATCTTGATCATGATTTCGTGTCGATCTTTGGGTGGAAGAATGTCGAACGGGGATGGGCCAATATCTTCTTCTTCGTCCTGGGCGCATTCGCGTCGGTAATATGGCTGCGGAGGACAGCCTTCACACTCATTCTCACTCTCACCCTCATCCATGATAGCACTCAGTTCCTGTTCAGGGGTCGGGGCACACAGTATAAGATGAGGGTGTGTCTTGGGTGGTGTATTCTTTCCGAATGCCCAAGACATGTTCTCCTCCTGGCAGCAGAGCTTGTAGATTTCTCCCCAGTTCTTGTAGTCAGGATGACGACCATGTCTGATCCAACGCGTGTAAGCCTTTGGCCACAACTACCGATTGTCAGCAATTTTGAAGATACAAGCTTGTTGTTATATGGTAAGTACGTACACGTTCAGTCCTTCGGGGCTTCGCTGAACTGCGTCGCCACACGCGAAGATACATTTTGACATCTGGCGGCAGACGGTCTCGCATCTCCTGAGGCAGAGATGCCTCCATATCCTCAATCCTTAAACGAACAGGGTCGGGAAAATCATCCAATTCTTCTTCGGGCAAAAGACTTCGGAGAGCCTCATTTTCCTCAACGAGTCTTTCATTCTCCTGAATGTTTGCTTCGTTGGCGGCGTAGAACTCTCTCACTGCTTCTTTCAGTGCTGTTACCAGGTGGTTTAGGCCGGTGACCCGGCGCCTGTTGACTCTCTTGCACTCTCTTAATTCATTTCTCTTGAAGAGGAATCGGTTTCGGTAATCTGCGAATTTGCGAGCAAGACTGTACCAAGGGGGCTGGCATGTTTCAAGACACTCGCCATCCCATTCTGGCCATGCGACACTTTCTTCTTCCAGGACCTGGAGTACATCGGCGTTGGGATTCTTGTGCCCATGTTCTTCATTCCCTTCCTCGTCATCGTCGTTGATCGGATCATGGTCGGCATCTTCGTCGTCCGAATCTTCATCAGAACTGCCATCACCGGAATCATCACCGCCAGGGCTTCCTCCGTTCGAGGCCCCTGGGTAGGGTTGCCTTGCCTGACTCTGATCATCATTGTCGTCGTCATGATGATTGTCGCTATCCTCTGACCCGTCGGATTCGCTGCCCGGGTTGTCGGATGATGGTGGTGATGGAGGTCCTCTGCGCCCGCCGTCATCGCCATCACCGTTGCTATTGTGATCGTCATCATCATCGTCACCAAAAAACAGACTTCCTTCAACTTCAGGAGAGTCCTGGTCGTCGTCACTGCTTGACTCTTCGTTGTCGACGTCCATAGGGCCACCAGGCCGATAGATGATGTGGGAGATTGGCTCCCCATGAGCATCTACCCCAAGGGAGATCTCCTCTTGGTCAGGAGCATCATTGTAATGCCCATCAATGTCTGGATGAGGATTATCATTCCCTGTGAGGTCGATAAACTCCGCATCGGAGTCACTGGAGCTCCCGTCTGACATGTTGACGACGGTTGAGTTGTAGGACAGAATAAGAGAGGACCTTGTATGAATATAACCTGAAGAGTAGGAAGCATAGGGAAGAAATGAGATTGGGGGTTGTTGTGAAGAAGGAAGAGATGAAGACGAGGATTGAAGGAGGAAGAGCAGCCTTTTATAGACAAGACTGTAAGGGAGGATGAATCACGATAACGGAGACTTCAGAGAAGATGAGGAGTCTTAGAAGAGGTTAGAAGAGGGAAAGCTTGAGATGTTGAAGTGCAACGTTGAAGTTACGGCGAGGTAGAAGTGAGAGGTTGAAGATGTGGATGAAGGAGAGGAGATCTTGAAATGATCAGGAGAAGTCGAAGAGAGAAGGAAGGGAAAAAGGGCAACAGGATGTTAAAAGGAAAAGAGAAGTAAGAGAGAGTTCTGTGGCAGGGAAAGGCAGAGGTGTTGTGATGCCTTTCAGATGATAGAGGTGGAGTTGAAAGGGGGCTAACTTGTGATCCTCCGTGTAAGTCAACAATTTCGAAGAGACGAAAGCCAAGCTAAAACTATACGCAACGGACGGAAAAGGGACACTTATAACGAAATCAGATACCTCAATGCAGCACGCCTCATTGCAATGTCTAATATATTCAACTGAAACTGGCCGAAGCTAGTTTAACCCTTCTTAATGAATTCTCATATCATGCATATGCCATTGCTTTTCATCCAGTATATCTTCTGAAAAGACTGGTTGAATAATATAGGATTTTGGGTATCAACTGACTCGACTCAAGCTCTATTCAACATGTAGCCTATATCAAAGTGAATATCACCTGCCCTCGCCTTTCATCAACCAATTGGATGTTACAAGCGGAACAGACATATCCTGACAGAATGATAGAAATCAATAAAGTTCTAACAATTCTCTTACAGTATTGCATGCCGTCCGGAAGCCGTCTAATCGCTGTACAATGCGGCCTGGTATCTCTTTTTAGTGCTCTTTTGACCCCATGCTCATTTTATACCTAGTTCTTAAGCTCAGCAGTGGCAGGGTAGTGCCAGCTGCGGAAGGTATCCATAACAGTTGTGAACACGACCAGGAGGATACCACCTCCAGGACCCAAACGCAGAACCTGAATGATTGTTAGTTGACTATCCTTTCACTTTCAGGATGACTACTCACCTTGGGCAAGAAACCCTTGTAGAGAGCACCGAAACCCTCCTCCTTGAATACGGTTCCTACGGCAGGGAAGGCCCAGTTGTACTTGGGAACCTGACCGGGGACCTTGGGGGTGTTCTGAATTCGACTCTTGACAACGTCCAGGGGAGTGTTGAGAACGGTTCCGATAGTACCACCAATGGCACCAGAGATGAGATCGTTGGTGATCTGAGCCCTCTTGGTCTCAGCCTTGGGAAGGAGTTGTCGGACCTGGAAAATGCAGCCGAAGTAACCAGCGTTCCAGAGGATGTGACGCCACATAGTACTCTCAAGACCCTGGTAAAGAGTAAGAGGACCCTCGTTCTTCACTGTCTTGACGACACAATCAACCATGCCGTTGTACTTTCCAGCGGAAGCCTTGTCCTGAAGACGAATCTTGACGAGCTCGAAGGGAACGACGACGAAAGCCTCGGTAGCGCCAGCAGAGGCACCAGTGAGAATGGAGAGCTGCTGGTTCATCTTATCAACGCCAAACATCTTTCGGTAAACCTTGCCCCATTCATCGTTGGCAGCGAACTTGGTAGCTCGCTTGGGAGCCTCCATGAGGATGGGAGCGGAAATACCACGATAGAGTCGTGAGAAACTGGCGCATGTCGTTAGTTATGGGCGCAATAGAATCGCAAGCGCAATTATCGTACCCCTCCTGCTTGATGATCTTGCGGAAACAGTCAAGCATGCCGTTGTACTCAGCGGTAGCACCGGAACCAGTTTGCAATTGGCTGGTCATCAAGTTAGCAATTGATTCATTATTTCGAAATGCGCACGCATGGTTCGTCATACACTCGGGTCTTGACAACGTCAAGAGGGTACCTGTGACTGTGTTAGCTAAAATGTCTCGAGCACGCGACAGATGCTGTCATACATCACCAGAATCTACAGCCAGCACAAAATTAGTAATGGCCCCCAAACGAGTCGAACTGGCGTGAGCATACCTCCGAGACGCCAGCAATGGCGCCTAATTATCAAACGTTAGCCATTGGATCTCGAAAATGGTAGAGTTAAATGGGTTGACGGGCGTACCTGCGGCGAACTGGTACATGAAAGGGAGGGGCTTATCGTTAGGGTTGGACATTGTGACGACTGTATAGGGGACCGAATAAAGATAAGAGCAGAGGCAGACGAAGAGAAGACCAGAAGAACAAAAGAAGAGGTTGAGTGGAGAGTTGTCGCAAGTTGACAAGAAAGAGAGAAAGCTAAGCTGAGGTAGTTAACGGAAGGGAAGATGGCGACCTCCGAGCGAAGGCCGGGCCGGGGAGTGGAGGGAATTTCTTTGGTGGTGCGTCTTTGTAGGTATCTTATCGCTAATAACCTCCACTGCCACAGGCGGCGAGAATTAGGTCGATGCCGAATGGACGGAAACTTTTGTTCTAAACAAGCGCCTTGTATCCGTAGGATTGTGGAGATTACAGCAAGCGACAGCGAGATGAGACCCGGGGGAGGGGTCCATTGATGCTCGGTGAGACGGTAAGCAGCCGATCCATGAGACCTAACGTCTCCGATTCTTCTCCGACGATGCGATGCTCTTTTTGTGGTTGCTGTTTTAGGCAAGTCTGTGATATATTCTCTTGGCAGTTTATTGTCCTCTTACAATGCGTTTAAAGTATACTGCAGTATATTTACATATAATTCTCAAACAATTATCAGTTTTTATAAAGAAGTTTGCCACTAATGTAGGTAAACTATTGATAATCAAATACCCGGATGCCCGATGTCTGCCGCTAGCCCTGAAGCTCTTTGAGCCCGTACCCGACTATTTACCTTTAAGCCGCTTGTACCTGAACATGAAGGGGTTGGCATCGGCAACGGTATTGAAGGTCTCTTGTCCTAACTACAGACTCCTATGATAGGCTCTGTTGTAATAAGAGCCCGCAATGATGCAGACGCACCTCCATGGGAGCCAGGATGCTGAACAGCTGAAGCTTCATACGTTTGCTAGAGAACAATCGACAGAACCCCAAAAGAAGGTTAGGTGAAGCTTCTCAAGAAACTGTAGCACTTGTGACGTGGATATCTCATAAAATTGAGGCACAACCTCGTGAGGGCCGCATACATGAGGCAATTACTATGTATATCACTAAACAAGATAATGGATCCAAATCCAATAAGGAAAGTATTTGGAGACGTTGGCCAACATGTTCTGGTGTCCCAAAGTGCGTGAAGTCTCGCGGAAGCTTGCCAAATCATAGGTACGGCTGAAATATGTTCTTCAAAGCCCTGACTTGAGATACTCTGTATCGGACCCGGACTGCCATCAAGTGATCTTGAATCACATAGACGACGCTTTCCAGGAGCATAGAATTCGGAGAACACGCTAATCCACGTACCTTGACCCCTCCCCCGCGATGTTGATCCCCGTGCACGACCGCGGTCGTCATCCCCGTCGACCGAGCGGACCGCGAACTTGGCCCGTGATGGACAGACAGTCACTTGCGGAAGAACACCGATTTCAGAGGGTAACTGCCGGCATGACTACTAACGTTGAAACAGAGCTGAAAGTCTTGTATATTAACGAATCGTTGTCATTCGAATGGTTTGTAACATCAACTTGGACTTTTATCGGTAGAACATCATCCCATATCAGGCGCTAGCTATTTCACGATCACATTAACAGACCTTGGTGTTGGCAAATATTCATGCCGACTAGATCAATAACCTTTTTCTCACGAAGACTAACCGTTAATACATGCTTCTGACGTTGAAGCAAGCCTGGAACATAACAATCGAAGTGATAGACGCGAATGACCAAGGCGTCGGACTTCCGGAACCAACTCAGTCCACTCCTTACTCACATCAGAATCCGTTCGCCCTTCGGATCCTGTCCGTACGAGTGTGACGGGTGCATGAAACCTGGAATATTTGATACCTACCTGGAACTCTGGTAAAATATACTCAGTCGCTGGTAGCGACCAAGGGATTGGCCATCTCTCTAACTTCCAACAGGGAGCAGGTGTTCGTCCATGTTCATGGGTAAACGAAAAGCTGCAACTTCTCCCCATCAGCTATCGTATAATTCATTTTTTTTTTATCAACAACAGAAACAGACAAACATCATCCCATCCAGTGTCATAATGGCACTAAGAATCCGATCTCTAAGCACTGTGCGACATGTTGTGCTCAGATCGATATGGCCATGACAGAATATTTCAAGATATTTTATACAACCTAATAAAAGATACTCTTTAGTCATCTAACGAGTAAAAAAATATTGTAAGATATTGCAATCCTCTTATATTACTAAGATCTCATTCAATAATTCTTAGCAGTCCTTCTAACTTCCAACAGGCAGTAGGTGTTCTTCCTTGTTCACGAGTAAGCCAAGAGCTTTACGAATCCAATACTGTTAAATCTCTTTAGCAATATAAGAGCATTCCGCCGGAGTCGAACCTTTCTCATGATGCCTTGACAACAACACCGGAATCAGATATGTCCGAATTCAGCCGTTAACAAATCTCGAAGGCGACAAATGAGAGGCGACAATGGAAAGCATGTGGTGAAGTACAAGATCGAGCTTCAGGCTTCAGAGCTGCACACCTTGAAGAAAAGAACCGTTATTGGTTCGTTGAATCAACCTCAATCTGTAGTTCACAGAGGGTAGTTTCTGGATGGCGGGGTAGGTTCTCCATCGGCACAATGGTGACAGAAAAAGAGGGAATACATTTCTGCTTTTTATTAGAAGATATCATCATAAGATACTATGATAATAGTATAAGTTATGGTAATTGATAGATAGGTAAGATAAATTACTCCGAGATGCAGGATTCTCTTCTAATTGATAATGGATGCTTAGAATCTATAAGAAACAAAGACCAAACTTTCACTATTGTCGACTTTCTTTTACCACCCTGCCCCTTGAGGTAGGTAACCAGGGTTGCGATTGGGGCACCACGTTGAATGCACTTGCTGACGCGCACAATTGGCCGGCCCCTCGGTATCGAATCTCAAGGTCATTAATGACATCGCCTCTTCACCTCTCGATCTGACAAATCCCATTCCTTTCGTCTTTCCGATTAGAAAAAGTGTTCCTGCATCTGTTACACTGCAGAAGACACTTGTCAACAACGAATTTCTCCTTCATCTGAAGATCCAGAACGATCAACGCCCCTTTACGCTCTCCCTGTCAGTCGATCAAATCCGCGCTCGGTGGCAACCTATACCGATCACAAGCAACCGTCGCAATCTTTGCGCCAGCAGCCTCAACTTCTGCGCAACTTCACTTGAGCTTGTCAGTATCTCAAGCTCTCCTGCGCTTCAAATTGCACCTTTAAACAAGCCGTGACCCAACGAGCGTCACAGCGAGGTGCCTTTCGCGCCCAGGAGAGTTCTCTCGCCCCCTGCCCATGAGTCACTTATTGTGGAAATCCTACTGGGAAAACGATGTCGACCGGTTTCGGCGTCTGCTGGCCCCAACCAGCTACAATGCCCAGTCGCTATCGAAGAGTCCTGCGATAGGAGGAACTGGTGTATTCTTCGGTGGAAGCCCTGGTCTTCCTGGGACTTCCCCACGACCAGCGAATAAGCAACGACGAGCTTCCGGCCATCCGCAGACGCCTGGTAAATCAAAGGACGGCAGTACGCATCTTGGACGAACCGAAGTCAACAGCCGCGACCATGCTGGATTGACAGTTTTACTTCGTGCTGCCTCATCGACCGACCCGAATGCCCACGAGTTTGTTCGGGCTCTTATCGAACATCCTACCATTGATCTCTACGTCCAAGACCCCGAGAGTGGCTGGAATGCCCTCCATCGATCCTTATACGTCGGAAATGTTTCGATTGCGCGACTGTTGCTGGAAAAGGAACGAGTGGACTTAACAAGCCATAATCTAAACGCTGTGAACAAAGTCGGACTCCTGATCAAGACGAAAGACCATGAGGGAAACAGTCCCTTTGACGTCTATAACTCAACGATCGCCGCCAGGTCTTTGAAGAGCATGGAAAATGGGAGCAATTCTGACAGCGACGCTGATAGCGTTGATAGCGGAGGTGATGGTTTACATCAGTGAGTGGTTCGGGAAAGCAGCCAGGACTTAGCTGATTCTTGTTGCAGTGTGATAAAGGCGTCGCATGGGTTGCGAAGCTCGATTGATGGTGACGAACTCTTTGTTTTTGGCAGCAACAAGAATGTTTCTCTTGGAGTCGGCGATGAGGACGATCGCCAGTATCCTGATCGTATTCATCTATCCAGGCCCGAACTTCTTGTGCACCGATTATACCACTCACACTTGGATGAGCAGGATGAGGAAGCCCCTTCTTCGTTAAAACTGGATGAGATTCCGACTTTGGTTCGAAACCGGCCGCTCGTTATTCAGGATGTCTGCATGTCCAAACTGCATAGTGCTATCCTGACAACTGATCCAGTCTCAAATTTGTACGTTTGTGGTGTTGGCCGTGGAGGCCGACTTGGATTAGGAGACGAAAACACACAGTTCAGATTCGTACCTGTTCAAGGTCCATTCATTGACAAAAAGATCCACCAAGTTGCACTTGGGCAGAATCATACCATGGCCGTTGTCGATAATGGAGAACTTTGGACCTGGGGCTTGAATTCTGCCTCACAGCTAGGATATGCTTTGCCTCCACCGATGAAGGCAGATGAAGAACCCATGAGCCTTACTCCTCGCCAAGTCTTTGGATCTCTCAAGAAAGAAATTGTCCTCGGGGTTGCTGCGTCTGCAAACCATTCTGTTGCCCATACGGGATCCTCACTATTTACTTGGGGTCGTAATGTCGGACAACTGGCTCTAATGGACGCCGATTCGAGATCACTTGATATTCAACATACCCCCAGAAAAGTGGCTGCTTCTCTTCTCGCTGCCCCGATCGAGATGGTGTCAGCGATTGACAAAGCCACTATCTGCCTGCTTTCCAACCATACTGTCTGGGTCTTCAGTCACTATGGTTATAATCTGGTCAAGTTCCCATTTCCCGATGTCTTTGCGAACAATATCTTCATGACACGATATGAATCAGGCGGTCGAAGGGAGATTGACCATATCACTGCAGGTGGCGAGACAATAGCTGCTGTGACTGCCCGTGGTGACCTCTTCACGTTTCATTTGAACGATAAGGGGGATCCAAGCCAGTCTGCTGCATCCACTACGAATCCAGTTAAGATTAAGAATGCCATTACACAGCCACAATGTGTCTGGGACTCTCGCAAGGACGGAGTCGCATCTGTCGGAGTTGGCGAACATGGCTCGGTCATTATCTGCACAGAATCAGGGGCTGTATGGAATCGTGTCAAGCGTACTAAAGGCAAACTGACTGGATTTTCTGGATCAACCGGCACGAAACGCAAAGACTTCAAATTCCAGCGAGTACCATACATCACCAACTGTGTTGCTGTCAGAAGCTCCATTTTCGGCGCTTTTGCGGCCATCAGAAAGGACAGCAAAGTTATGGCAGAGGAGATTGAGATTGGTGAGAAATCTCTTCGCGATGATATTGGCTCTCTACTCTGTCTCAATGATTTTGAGGCTTCACGACATCACTCTGAAGCAAAGGGCGCTCGGAAAACATGGGAAGCTGCCATTGTTAGGGAGAAGCGAGACCCTGTAAGCTACGAAATTCTCCGATCAGCCGACATCGAAACAGATTTGCGGTGCTGGCTGGAAATCAACTCTTTCCAATACGACGACATGAATATGGCTATCTGTTCCTCCTCTTTGCCTGATATGAAGATCCCTATCCACAGCTGGGTTCTTGCTGGCAGAAGCCCGGTCTTGCGGCAGGCACTATCAGAGTTACGCGAGCGAGGATCAGTATTCAGCACAGACTCTTTCGGCCTCGAGGTTGTGGATGACAAGGCCTTGCTGACGCTACTTGAAGTCGACATTTACACTGTTCTGAATGTTGTTGTCCATGCCTACCAGGACAGATTCGTTCCAGTATGGAAGTACACGCGCGAGGCACCTCCACTTGCGTTCCGTTTTCGACAAGTTAGGACAGAGTTGATGAAAGTAGCAACAAATCTTGCCCTACCAAAACTGGAGGCGGCAGTCCGCCTGCAGACGGGTGTGGAAGAATCCCTCGACAGCGATTTCAGACAAGCAATCCTTGATCCTTCTTTCTTCGACGACGGTGATATCATCATTGAGTTGGATGGAGAGGACATAATGGCGCATAGCCAACTATTGTGTCAAAGGTGCCCCTTCTTTGAGGGTTTGTTCAATGGACGGTCTCAGGGCCAGTGGCTTGCCGGACGCCGTGCTGGCATGGACTCTGCGGAAAGAATCAGGGTGGATCTCAGCCATATCGACCCCGAAACATTTCAATACGTCATGTCCTTTGTCTATGCAGATGTAGGACGGGAGCTCTTTGATACTGTTTCAGTGTCTAATTTGGATGAGTTGTCAGAGCTTGTGCTTGACGTGATGAGTGCTGCAAATGAGCTGATGCTTGACAGATTGTCCCAAGTCTGTCAAGGTCTCATTGGCAAGTTTGTGACAACAAGAAACATATCAAACCTGCTCAACGAGATAAGCCCTTGCTCCATTACAGAGTTCAAAGACACTGGTCTTGAATACATCTGCCTTCAACTGGAATCAATGCTCGAGAACCACCTTCTTGACGACTTAGATGAAGATCTTCTGCTGGAGCTCGATGAAGTGGTCCGAGACAATCAACTTGCACGGTTCCCATTTGTACGGAGCGGAAGAGCAGACTTACTACTCCATGAAAGTCATCCCGAATTGGCTGCTGATATCGATGAGGAGCGTCAGGCTAGGATCAAAGAGATGGCCTACAAGGCAACTCAGCGGGATGACGAGAAGAAACTCTCATCATCATTCAAGGCTCGAATGGGAAGTCTAGATGAAGGCAGTCCGCTACAAACACCAGATACAATTCGACGCAAGTCCAGAGGTGGGCGGAATGAGCCTTTTAGCCCCAGTCTTCGGCCCAAGCAATCGCAGGCAGACATGATCTTTGATATGGAGGATGAGGACGGCTCTTTGTCTGCTAAGCCACGATCCCCGATGAACGAAGCTACAAATCTTCGTTCACCTCCGGAGATAGACGACATGCCCCAGCTTCCTAAAGCATGGCGGGAATCAAAGGGCAAAGAGCTTGCAGGCTCTTCACTTAGCCCAACTCCTCTTGCCTTTTCCATGTCCCCAGAGCCTCAACCGTCCGAACTGGGCAGTTTGAAGACACCAGGCGGTGCATTATCAAAGCCCGGCGTCCCATGGTCAGCGTCTAAATTAGCAACATCGAAGTTGGATCTGAAAGATATCATGTCTGAGGCGTCTACGTCTGCTTTAACTGCCGGGCTCCAAGCGCAGAGAAAGCAAGACGCTGCAGCAAACAAACCACAAACCAAGATATCTCAAAAAGAACGGAAGAGGCAGCTCCAAGCATTGGCAGCAGCAGAAGCAGCGGCGAAGGACGAGTCGACGAATCATGTGCCTTGGGAGAGTGTTCCAGAAGGAGGGCGACCAGCGCCTTGGAAAGCAGCAAGTCCGGCACCCAAGACGTCGCTGAAAGAGGCCATGTCCGCGGAATCCAACATGCCAAGGGGGGTATCTGCTAACGCAAAACCTCTCGTCGCTTCAGAAACGAAAGCAAAGACGGCGACACGGCGTACTGCGTCACCCGACACAAGGTTCCCGGGTCAGGGTCGAACCAACAGCTCCCCCGCAATTGTCGCAGGACCCTCGACAGAGCAGCCTAAGAAGCCATTGGTACCACACTCCAAGTCGTACATTACACCGGCACCAAAAGCGGAGCCCACGCTCGGATTCAGTATGGCCGATATCATTGGCCAACAGAAGCGCGAGCAGGAGGCCGTCAAGGAAGCGGTTGCGAAGCGTTCACTTCAAGAGATTCAGCAAGAGCAAGCGTTCCAAGAGTGGTGGGACCAAGAGAGCAGAAGAACACAAGAGGAAGAGGCCAGGCGGAAGCAGAAAGAAGGTCGAGAAAAGGACAACAAGGGTACGAAAAGGGGTGGTCGGCGAGGACGAGGTAGTAAGGCCAAAGACACCGGTGAAGCGGCTACAGACAGCGGGCAAAGCGGCACAAACGGAAGAAAAGGCGGAGGCCCTGCCGGCTCAAGCAGCACAAACACTCGGGGATCGGGAGGCGGACGAGGTGGAGGTGGAGCCGGGGGTGGCCGAGGCAGGGGAGGAAAGGGACGTGGCAATAAGTCCCAGGCTACATGATGAATACCGTAGTGGAAGTGTCGACCTTGAGGAGCATAGGACTCAAAGGGACATTGGGCACGAGGCACACGGCGTAGAGTGCATAATCGGTGGACTTGCTTCGTTGTACTTATTGACTTTGTCTTGGCTGCAATTGCTAAGAATAACGTATAGATGACCATCTCCAGCTTGAATAGAAAAATTGTAGACATATTGATAGCCTGTGGAACATGTTACTTTGGATGATGTGATTCAGTAGGTACGTCGCGATAACCTTGAGAAGCTACTCAACCGATGTAAGCAAGTCGATCAATTGGGACTTTCTTTCCTGTATTACATGAATAGTTTAGCTCAATATGTGAGTGTAGCACATAATATGCTATGTAACTCCATCAAGGTGAGTCTAATTCGCCATGAGGTTGCCGTGAGAGTGTCATGGTTGTCCCTCCACAGTAGAGAGAACAGTCTTTATCGACCGCGGACATGTGTGGATCGTCTGATGAAAAGCGTGAAACGTCCCGGATCTACAAAGCTAGACTGTATAGAGAAGGCTACAGACACATACCAAAGGCAGAAGCAGACGCAGACGGAGAAGCATTGCGATAACAGAGAGTAGCATTGCGGCCAAGCAGGCAACGCCTCTCAGCTTGGAGATAAGCTGAAGGGCTTATCTCGTTCGTGGAGAAGACTCGGGGAGAGGAGGGGAATGTCATGAGTCAACATCCCATCTATGACTGGTCCTTAGATGTGACAACCACCATGAACCAACCAGAAGAGATGAACGCGGTTATGAAGGATGCTCTGCCTAATTTATAGCAAAGGTTCTTAGACAATAGAAAATAGGGTTAAGGCATTGCATACGTTCTTCGTTTGAATTGCGTGATAACTTTAGGACTTAGAAACTCTGGGGTTGGATACCTCAGCAGCCAGACCGGGCAATTGAATGGAGGTGGGTTTCCCTCCGGATGGATCATGGAGGCGCTTAAAGCCCCGGGATTATCGAAAGCATCCACTGAAATGCACTGACCGAGATCCCCTGTTGGGTACGATCCGAGCCCCCCTTCTCAAGGCTGTTTGAGGTGCCGGTGTTTTGAGGTCCATGCATGGATGCATTGATATGAATATGGATGGATCGTTATCTTGTAGGTCCATTCGTTTTAAGGCCACAAGACACGAGATAGATTAGAAAACTCCCTCATATAATTCGGACATGGACAAGTTGCGGTAAATCCAACATTTATTATTTTCTATAGTAGATGACTCGATCTAGAGCAAAACTATCACAGTTAATAGCTGACTCAGGCGCAAGACATGCCCATGAGCCCTGTGACTGTGACGTGAGGCTCTAGCCGATGACGACAACCCGTTATTATCCAATCCACTCCCTGTCGCCCATCCCATCACGAGGTCGTTGGTGGTGACCTCTTCCGTCTCTGCCTCTGTCCGTTTACTGTATCTATCCCTTCTCGTTGCCGTTGGATTTATCGTTTCGGCTCTGACAAAACACAAAACACAATCAAACTTTCTTCTTTTCCAAAGTTGGCCTGCTGCAGCAACCCGCCATCGTCTTGTTTTATCTCTATTTGTGGACACAAACAAGTACTGTCTGTACCTTGCCTTGCACAAACAAACCGCGGTACCTGTGCCATCTCTAGACTCTTGTTAGTGCGACTGGAGTGTACCGTACCGTACAGTGTTAGACCGTCGTCTCTCACACCTCACTTCAGACCTATTACAACGACAACGACCCTGGACTGGGAGCTGCGTTTGGCTGCCTGCATCTGCATCTCACCGACCGACAGCAAGACCTGGACCTCACTGACCAGCCGCCCAAGCTTCTGCCATCTGCCATCTGCTCTTCTTTCTTCTTTCTTACACTTTTACCTACATTTCTACCTCCACCCTCCCCCGACCCCAGCACCGCCGGCTACCAATCTACCCATCCCATCAGCTCCTCCATTCTCCCTTATCGACTTGATCTGCCTCGAACGACATGAACCATGGATGAGCAGGTCTCGTGGCCGATCAAGATCCCTATACGTTCGTGATCAATTCATCTATCAAGCAACAATTACGACCGTATCCTCTTCTTTGCGCACACGATACGATATACGTACGATAACCGATACCGATACCGATAACGATGCATCAACAACCCCGTGGCCCAGCCCGGGTGTCATCCCCAGGCGCAACGCACCATTCAGCTATACCATCTCGATCCAACAGCACCAGAGAAGCTGCATTGGGATCCCGACCTCGAGCCGGCTCTAATGTTGCTGGTAGAGACACACCCAGTTCGCCAAATATTGGAGATATGCCGACACCGGCGCCCCCATCCGACTCGATCAAGAAGCTCGACCAAATAGTACAGGTATGGGCGGTCCAAATACATGAATACATTGGTCAAGATTGGTTACTGATACTTTCTCTCCCTGCAGAACTTCTATGCAAAGGCGGCCGTACTCGTCCTCGACTCACGCATCAAATCCAAGCCTGCGCGCGGGGCCAACGGTGGGCGGAAACCCAATAAATGGGTAGGTTTGCAGCCTGCTTGCACATTCAGTCGCTAATTTTGGAGTAGTTCCAAATCGAGACAGATGAGATTGATGACTTTCGTGATGAGCTCAAGATCTGGAAGACTTGCGGTAGCTTCGACAACCCCCCTCCTCCAATGGTTATCGAGGTCTTTTTGGATACTTCTCGATTAAAAGACAGCCAGAGTCTAGTCATCGTTGATGAGTCTGGCAAGAGATGGGATGTAATGGAACAGCTGAACTCATCCGGTTCTTCTACCGATAGCTCATCTGGCGCATCCCGAAGAAACAACGAGGTTATCATTGAGAGGTGGCGAGTCGAGCTCAAGTACTCAGGCGTAATACCCACGGACTTTGGCCCGATTCTGCCCACCATCTACAAGAAGGCCATTGTTTTCTTCCGGTCTCTTTTCATCACGACTCGCCTTCTCCCAGCATGGAAGTTTGCCAGCCAAGGTCCCGCCAAGAACTCACACCCGGCGCTTATTCCACGATGCCGAATACGTTTATCTCAGTCTGATCGCTCACGCAATGATCAGCTGCGTCTTCCTATTGATGGTAGACCAGACCCCGTGACGGAGTACATGTTTGGCGATTTAGAGGTACCCGTTGGACGACTAAGCACTACTGTCACCTATCGCAATGATTGCAACTTCCGTGTGGATGACTCTGAGGCTCTGCTAAGTTCCCGTTTCATGGGAGTGGACGAGAACTTTTTCCGGCCTTCCATTCCACCACTGAATGACCAGTCAAGAGGGCAAGTGGCGGAGGCAGGATCACTGCGTGATAACCGCTCGCGTCCAAACTTGAGTGATATGCAGCAGGCATATGGAAGTCTTTCAACGTTTCACACCAATGTCCCAATGGGGACCAGCCCGATCTCGGCTTTGAGATCGGTGCGACCACCAGGCTCCGACACGAGCTCACCCCCAGAGTCTCTACCGGCACAGAATGGTGTGGGTGGTCCAAGCTCTTTGCCAGTACGTCAAAGTACAACACGACCCCCTTTACGAACGACCGAGGGCTCAAGTCGACGTCCTTCGGTATCCTTTCAGCCTTTCAAGGCGGGCTCGCTCTCGGGCTCGCCTGTCCCAAGGCAGATCGATCCTGAGCCGGCTTCTCCTCAAACGTCGACGCGTCCAGGTATTCCTTCCCTGAAGCAAGCAGGAAACCGAACGTCTCTTACTGCTGGTATGCCAGCTTCTTTGCGGGGTGGCCCTCCTCCGGCATCTACAGACCCTGCTGTTGCCAGCTCCCCGCGACCAGCGTCAACCAGTCGCTATAGTAGCAGCTTCACACATCGCCGTGGTCGTCTATCTTTTGGAGGAGCCAGCAGGGCTGGTGATGACGAGCAGGGCAGCAGTGGAAGGCAGAGTTTGGCCTCATCAGTGGCACAGCCAGGATCTGACCTCCTCGATGAGGTGGCAGGAACAAGCTCAGACTCACTTCAGAACGACCACAAACACCTCTCAGACTTTATCAGCGCACTGGATAGTAAAAAGACTCTGAAGAGCTTTGGACCCTCAAAGAAAGGGGAATCAGCAACTAACAAGACTGTGGCGCAGCTATCTCGCTTTCATCAAATGAAGGACTCTAATAATGCACTCACTGATTCGATGACATCGTCTGTGCAAATGCAGAGGTCATCGAGTTCATCCAGTCGACAATTGACGAGTGTGCCTGGAATGACTGCACCAGCTTCTGTGTCTGCCTCGTCATCTCCTGGGAAGCCACTCTCACCTCACACACCCCACACGCCAGCAATTCCGTCAAGATTGAGCGAGAACTCGATTATTGATTATACTGGCCAAGGACGAATTACTTCGCGTCAGGGGCGAGCATCTGAAAATAATCCTGCACCAGGGACGATCAGAGAGAATACGGTTACACAAGATGGAACGACAGCTATTGACATTCCATTATCACCTCGACTCGCCACGTATGAGCGAAGGGCGAGCTCTGTTGCACTCCACAATCGGTCAATGGTGGACGAAGATGAGCCGGACTCTGCTTTTGCGCACCGATCTATCAGCTTAGGTGCTGATGATAGGGAACCACCTACTCTGAGCATTTTGCTGGGTAGGCAGATGCAGCTTGAGGGGGGGTCAGCGCAAAGGGGATCAGATGAACTGAAACCAGCTGCTGAAATTGAGGCTTCTGAGACGCCAGGGATGATGCAGCGCGGTCTATCAGAAGAGAATCCTCCCGAGGGACTGATTCCGACAGCAGCGTCTAGCTCACCCTTTGGACGAAGGCGATATATGGGTATGGCTTCACATAAACAAACGCCGCCTCAGTCATCGCGTGGAAGCTTTACCGGATCTATCAACAGACAAGTCCGAGGTGACGATGATTCGATCAACGAGGAGCCTTTGGTCTTTGACCTGTCAGAAATGGATCCTCAAAGTCGGCGAAGCATTGAAGAAGCCCGTAGCGGCGCTCATGGGGGAGCAAATACCACATCGGATAAGGGAGCATACGAAAGCCGTGGTGCTTCGAGACGGGGTTGGTGAGACTGACATATTGGAATATGCGTTTTGAACACAAATTACATACAACATCTACTAACGGCAAAGTGAGGGCAACGACACATCAGTTTCATTAGAGCTATGAGTTATGTTTCAAAGGCAGTGGAGTTGCAGGCAGGATGGCGCATTGGATGCCTGATACAGTAGATTGCTAGGTTATTTATGTATGGATGGAAGCGGCGTATGTGGACTTGTATACATTATTCATAGGCTGATACGATTTAAAGCAGCGTTGACTGTAGCGTTAGCGAGCGGCATCCTTCTTATGAGGCGAGCTAAGGAGATTTACATTATGTATGGGATACGTGCCAAGGTGTGTTTGCTCTTGATGTGAAGCTCTGGACTCTGTCCGATGATACACAATCCGAGAACCACGCCACGTAAGGACGTCACCCAAGGGATAAGGACGCGCAACTTGTCACGAAGTTGTAGACGAGTAATTGAAGACCACGCAATTATGGTAAAATTTCTGTAATAACGGATAGAAACAACATATTTCGTATTAGTTCTTACAGCCGAATGCGTAAATAGCATGCTTCAGCCCAGTAGACTGGATCTCGATAACAAAGCTCGCCAATGCTGCCAGATGATACCTTAGTAAAAATGGAATCAAACTTGATCGACAATAAGTTGGCTGTGCATCCCTAAGAATGTGGTTGCTAGCGGAAGATGTAGTTTGGTGTGGCGCACGCGTGGCCTTCAAGCCACATCAACCAGGGAGCTTGTCCTCTGGGTCGGGATAGGTAGCTCAGCCCCGCTACTTCCTTCGCCGCTCGTTCGTCATCAGAGCGAAAGGTTGAAGCGAAGCTGGAAGGAAGCCTGTTTAAACACTTGCTACCTACAAACTCCCCACGGGCCTACTTTAGTTTGTTTTGCACCCATTCACTATATCCTCGCCGTGAAGACGACGACCACGCCAAACGCCTACGACGCTTTATTCACCCTTTGATAGTAATCGATCAAACCAGAAGTGACGTGCCTCTGTGGAGTGCGACCGCCGACGACGTAACCCAGGGTCTTGGTACGGGACCTTCATTTCGCATCTCGCATCATTATCACGAGCCTACTTCCACCAACTGAAACACCAACATCGTCGCTTTCGCCGAATCTCTTCTTCTATATACGGTCGATATTCGCATTAGATACCCAAGGCTTTTAGCCGACGAATACATCCCGCGCCTCTCTCGCGTTGACTCCATCCCCGCCAACAACTGATATCCCAAATCAAATCACCAACCACCATGTTCCGAGCCTCAGCAGCAGGCCCTTATGATGAGGTAGTCAGTATGTCGCGCCCTTCGTTTTCCTAGGATCGGGCGAGAGAATTTCAATAACTTGCTCTCGTCTCGAAATTTCCATTCTTGCGACTAACACCAGCATAGCCAAGGCCACCGACGAGAACCTCACTTCTGAGGATTGGGGCGCCATTATTGAGGTCTGCGACAAAGTGAGCAACGACCAAAATGGTCCCAAGGAGGCTGTTCAGAGCATCATCAGACGTCTTGCGCATCGCAACGCCAATGTCCAGCTTTACACTCTTGAGGTATGTTGAATACCATGCCGTCATGTGAAGCATCATTTTACTTACTCAATCAGCTTGCACATGCACTTGCTCAAAACTGTGGGAAGAACATGCACCGCGAACTTTCCAGCCGTGCCTTTACAGATGCCCTCCTCCGTCTCACCAACGACCGCAATACCCATACACAAGTCAAGTCTAAAATTATCGAGCACATGAAGAGTTGGTCCGAGATGTTCAGCAGCGATCCCGAATTGGGCATCATGAGCGATGCCTACAACCGCGCCACACGAAGCAACCCGAACATCCAGCCCCCAAGTGCTCCTCAAAAGCAGGGCCTTACCGAGCTCGATCGCCAGAAGGAAGAGGATGAATTGCAGATGGCTCTCAAGTTGAGTTTGCAGGAGGAGGAGCGCAAGAAGGCTGCTGCAGGCAGTCCAGGCGCACAAGCCGGCCCTAGTGGCCAGACAGAGAGCCCTGCTCCTGCTGCGCCCGCTGGAACTACCGCGGCCACGGTGAGCCGGGTCCGCGCGCTCTTCGACTTTGCCCCTTCTGAGCCCGGCGAGCTGGAATTCAAGAAGGGCGATGTGATTGCTGTTCTCGAGAGTGTATACAAGGACTGGTGGCGAGGCTCTCTTAGGGGCAAGACTGGCATCTTCCCGCTCAACTATGTCGAAAAACTTACCGATCCCACACCGGATGAGTTACAACGTGAAGCCCAGATGGAGGCCGAGGTTTTCGCCGAGATCAAGAACGTTGAGAAGCTCCTCACATTATTGAGCACTTCCAACACAGCGCCCCGAGAGGAAGATAACGAGGAGATTTCCGTACGCACCCAGTATGATACAAAATATGTTCAGTGTGCTAACAGGCTCTGTAGAAGCTTTACCACCAGACTCTTGCGATTCGACCCAAGCTTATCAAGCTGATCGAGAAGTACTCTCAGAAGAAGGGTAAACCTTGGAAGCCCCCAGGACTGAATATGCTACTAACATCCCTCAGATGACTTTACACAGTTGAACGAGAAGTTCATCAAGGCTAGGCGGGACTACGAGGCTCTGTTAGAGTCTTCCATGGCCCATCCTCCTCAGCACAACTACCAGCAATACGCAATGCGACCGGTCCCCGGTCAAGGCTATCCTCAAGCTGGCGGATATCCTCCCCAGGGAGCAGCTCCTCAGGACCCGTCAAGATATTATACTCCTGGCCCACAAGGTATGTTGATCCTTTGCCATTGCAATAGAAGAAATTCATTCTGACTTTTACCAGAGCAACCTCCATACCAAGCTTCGTCTCCTCCCCCTAACTTCCAGAACCAACCTCAAGGCCAACCGGCACCTTTCTATGTAGCAGGAGCTGAAGTGCCCGCCGGTTCACAGCCCTACCCTCCCAGGAACGAGTCTCCTTCCAATGGTAAACAGCCAGCCCCTATCAACACCTCGACACCGGGCCCGAACTTCAACCCTTACAACCAATCTCAGAACAACAACCCTTACACGCAAGCGCCTATGGGAGGACGACCTGGTAGCACATATGGAGCTCAAGAGTTGGCCACGTCTGTGTACGATTCCCCTATTGCAACCAACAACCCACAACAACCGGCTTCGGCTGCCACATTTTCAAGCTCAGTCTATTCTCCTGAAGAGCCCAACGAGAACGCCAGCGCGCCACCCCCTGGTCCTTATGCAACACACCAGCAGCAGCCTCAACAATATCAGAGCTACAATCCTTCTCAAGTCCCTCCCATGCCTACAGGGTCAGCTCCCCCTCCTCCTCAGAGTGTCATGACACCTCCCCCTCTGAACCCTGGAAATGCCGGCGGATATGATGCCCGTCATGGTCTACCCAGCCAAGGTGGCGCTGGTGGCCAGGCTCAATACAAGCCTTATGTGCCACCCGGTGATGGTCCTTCTGCCCCTGCACCAGACAGTTACTATCAAAGCGGCGGAGTTTACTAAGTATTTGATGGTTTGGAGGATAGTCGACTGTTGTTGTAGCTTCAATACATTCCTGACGCATGCATAACGCAGGGACTTTTTGTTTTAGTGGTCAAGTGTTGCTTGAGTTCACCTTTCCTGGGCACCTGTTGGCTTTGTGCCTGAAGCCTTTGATCTTTGTATTTATGATTGCCAGGTCTATTCTACTACGAGTTGTTTTATCGTCGTTAGTTGGGCTAGCTTGCTTATTGCAAGTTTATAGATGATAGGCTGGGCTGAGGGAGAATCTATGTTGGGAATAAAGTTGAAGTTAAAGCTCCGAATTATGTCTCATATTTCGTTAACAATTTTATTTTCTTTGTATGAGATTCTATGAAGTCATTGACATTAGGATTTTGACTCGGACGATATATCCATATTTGTTAATAGTCTCCTTCTCGCGAACCAGTAACGGCTTCGTTTCGTTTCACAACCTGAAACCTCGACCGTCTCGCCCCTGTAACACCCTATTCTTTTTTTTTTTTCTTTGCCGCCTCCCGCCCCCGTTTTCCTCTCCGTCTCCCTTTTTCCCTCCTCTTTTATTCTTCCCTTAAACATATTGAAAAACAAATTAACTCTTTGCGCTATCCTTTTTCTTCTCTTCTACCTTGTCTACTTAATTTCTTGTTGTTTCAGCTGGTTCTGTAACTTCAAGTGTCACTCTCTTTTGATCACGCCACTATACACACATATATATCCATCCATCATCAGAATCATCAACATGAAGACTACAATCTTTGTGACGCTTCTCTCTGCGGCTACGTCGCTCGTCAGCGCCGGTATCGTCGTCACACCTGTTTTCTTTAACCAGATCGTCGAGAAGCTCTCTGGTGATTGTCCTTTTGGTGTAGTTACTCCTCAAGGTTGCGCGTACGTTTCGTCCTTATGGGTTGAGTATTTGGAGTCATACTTACTGATCTTTCGATAGCCCTCAGCGCGGTTAGAGACGTGGCTCTCTGGAGGGTGGTTGACTCAATGATAGTGGTTTGATTCCGGCGTTTTCAGGCAGTTCTAAGAACATTTCTATTTGACTGTGTTATAGGCTTGGACAGATAAGAATTTCATAATATTTAAGCGTGTCCTGCAATATACAAATGTCTACACGATTAGTACTAAAACCGGCTGAATTCGAACTTGAATTGAACATGCCACTTACTAGGTTTATATATTATTTTCTGCTGATACGTCTAAGCTGCCCACGTCATGTAAGAGTTTGCTTGCTCAACGTCATGATCAATATTACAGTCAGTCTCCGATTGTCCGCTAATCGATGTTCCTCTCTTGATTCGTATCACTACCGTCCTTTAAAGAACTGTCAAGCTTTGGCAGCCTATTACCGCGTATCATGTTCTGCCCTTATAAACAGTCCGTAACATCGCAGCTGTCAAAAGAAAACTGCTAGAAATTCTACACACGAGAAGCCACCTTGGCCTCACCTGGGTGACGTTCATCCCTGGCCTGAATCTCGACCTCATTGACTCCAGTGTCGGACTTACGGAGGCTCTTGTCCTGGAGACGTTTCGCGACGTGGTACGTCAGGAACTTTTCGACGTCAGGAACCAAACAAGCCGCAACAAACATGATGCATGAGAACGGTATAGTGGCGTAGAATACATAATGCAGTGAGCTGGTGTAGGCTTTGACAACGGCACCTCGGACTGAGGCAATGATGGCTTCGTTGATACCCGGTACAGTTGAGTAATCGCCTATGTTGATAGCCTCAAAGAGTGAAGGTAGGGATTTGGTTGGCAGGCCAGGTTTGGTTGCAGCTGGAGTCACATACTCGGGTATCTTCTTGGCCAGCTCATTGCTGAGAATAGAGACATACAAAGCCTGAGCAACGGCACCGCCGAGAGCGCGAATCGATCCAAGGATGCCAGATGCTAGGCCGATATCTTGGGGTTCCCAAAGCAGAGTTACACAGGTAATTGCAATATTCTCAATGTACCCAACAGCAGTGCATGCAATCAACCCGAATGCGATTGTGTTTGGCCACCGGTCAGGAGACAGGGAACACATCGACGTGATGAAAGTCATAACAAGAGCAGCAGCGCATATGCACTGGATCTTGAGGCGAGGGACATAGGCAATAGCGAGACCTGACATAGCTTGGCCCAGAACAACTCCACCACCAATCACGCAGCTCTGCCAGCCAACTTTAATGGAATCTGTGGTGTAGAGTGTGCTGATAATGGTAGGCCAGAGAACTGTCAAGGAGTAGTAGACCATGGATGCAACAGCGGCGCAAGTGACTACTGCAACGAACCCAACTTTCTTAAAAACACTGGGCGGAATCAGGGGTTTTACAGAGCAGAAGTAAGCCTCTGTCTACAGTTTTAGCGGACTCTGGAGAGAAATTGAAATCAAGGAATCATACCATATACAAAGAACCCGGCAAGGGTCATTACACCAATGATTAATGTGCACAACACCTCGGCACTCTTCCAGGGATATGTCGTACCACCCCAAGAAAGGCCAACGAGGAAGAGAACGCACCCAGTAGTGAAAAGAGACATGCCAATCCAATCAAGCTCTTTGGTTTGCTGTATTCTCGTCTTTCCCAGATGGAGTTGAGCAAAGGTTGGTGGGTGGTAGAGGAACTGATATAGAGCCAGAGTGATTACACTCAAAAGAATGCCCAGATAGTAACTCCAGCGCCAGCCTTCATGTATTTTTTCGATCATCGTCCGGGCTAAGACTGGGCCGAAGACTCCAAATGGAATTGAAGTCAGGAAGACGAAACCCATGATGGGACCACGGTGCTTGTTGGGAACAAGTTCACCCAAGACAATGCCAAAGGAGAGCTGTCCAGCAGCTGCAAGACCATTGCACCCATTCGAAGCGATGAGCATACCTACGCTCTTTGCAGTGCCACCGATAATGCAACCGATGAGGCCCAGTAGAGTTGTGCTCATGACCATCCACTTTCGGCCATATAGATCGGACAGACGACCAACGATGAGAAAGCCAATAGAAGACCCCATAGTCCATATAGTCGCTACCCATGCGATATGAGTGGAAGGACCAATTTCGGCGTTGATCAAAGCACTTTGCACTTCACGTTAGTAATTTCGACAGAACATACGCAGTTCTTATGAGGCCATAGAAAAGGATACGTTGATATGGGGGCAAATGTAAGATAAAGACACATACAGAGTATTGGAGGGCAGTACCCATCCTAGGTATGCGCAAGCACTTGCTAGACACTGTGCCTATAGAACAAAATAAGTACCTCTCTCAGTCTCATTTTAGACATCAGACTTACAGCAAGAGTACCAATGAACTGGGGACTCCGGTAGTAGCCATCAGGCATTCGATCGAGCTCATCGCCGAGGGCATTCTTGTCAACATACTCGACAGTACCATCGGCCATGATGATCTTCTCAGCGTTGACAGTCGACTGTGGGCTGCTTGATCCATTCCGGCTATCTTCTAGACCGAACGTCTCGAATTTTCGCTCTTCTTCTGCATGGCCATCGGCGCCAATATGGTTAAGATTCGACATGGTGGTTATTTCTGAAATCCTTGAGAGTCAACTTTCTCTGGGAATGTATGTGAAAGAAAACTTGCGTGAGAGCCTCAACCCAGGTCTAGTCTATTCTCTATGGTGTTGAGGATACAAAAAAGTCTCAGCAATCAAGCGGTCTATTGTTCCAGCATAATCTGAGAAGCCACGTCAGGCGTTGCAATCTTTCGGAGATTCAAGATGGCTCATCATCAACGGCCTGAATATCTCTGAATTATGGCGATCGAGTTGTATCAGGCCGTTCACGTGTGGCGGGTGGCAGAGGGAATCTTTTCTCTAGTAAGCACAGTATTGTCAGTACGTAAGTTGATGGCAAGACCCAACCCATATATGATCGGCAGATCCCTACGAGTGATCCCAGGCTAGGACCCTTATCCATGATCTTGCGCTTCCATGAGTCGTGTCGGGCGTCAAACCAAGTGGTCTAGGCTAGGGATGGACCGTGTCCCTAGGCAAGACGAGGTATGGCTTCGAGTTTATTTTGCTGAGGCTGTTGGATGAGCCAGGTCTTCTTGGGCGGGGAGAGCGGATATACTTTCTTCTAGAACAGGGTTCTTTTTGACAAGACAAGGTCTGGCGAATCGTGTAATTGACGATTGATTGATTGCTCGCTCGGAATGCGGTCAGCTGAGACGGAATTCGACTGCTTTCAAGCCTTCGACTGGTCTATGGCGATCCAGAAAACCCTCTTTCGAATTGAGTAGTGTTTAATTCTTCTTTGGCGGTTTGTGTCTGGGCATGTAATCCGAACCCAAATGTCAATGCTTAGGATGGGATGCTGGTGTTGGCAGGAGAGCTGAGTGACAAGAAGCAAACGAATGTCTCCAATGAATTTAGTAGGATGTGAGTGGTTGAAGTACTAAGGTACCTAATGCATCATTCAAACTCAGGTGTACCTTACTGACAGTTTTGACAAGGCAGTTGCGTTGCAGTATCCAAGATATCACTGGCAAGTTACCTATAAAGGTACCTTGAGTTATAGTAGGTACCATCCTAAGGAAATAAATTATAGTACCTAGATTTGAATGCCAATACAAAGCAACATTGTGCTTTTAAATTAACAATGCCTGCTATATATATTATTAGTTCATTGGTTTTGCGAGCTTTCCCATCTATTCCACCTACACATTCACATGTGACAATTCCCTGTCGCACCCAGATGCTCCTGGTTACACAAGAGTTTAGCCGGTATCTCGCATTAGCCAACGCTTACATCCCTCCCAAAAATAAATGGTCACCTCGTGTGGGTTCTTCCCTGATGTTCTCAATATACATCAATTGCTTTTTATTTACTATTTGGGACTCCCAGTCAGGCAGGCCTTAGGTACAGGGTAGTTAACTTACCCATATACACATAGTCGTCAATCATGAAAAAATAAGTACTAGCTGATTTGAAATGAAAACATCTAGGAGAAGTAAACAAAGACATGATTTTCTTGTTCATGGTGACGGGTGTCTCATATAACCGCCATTCTATAGCTCGAACATCCACTTGATCTTTCATACTCGCCACGAAACTGTTGTTGTTTGAGCCCTGATGGGCTCGTTTCACATCACAACTCTGCGACAACTATCCTTAATAAGTATAGTCCAGTCCACGCCTCAACACCATTGTCTTGCTCTTTTCAGTGTATACACACAGAAACCAGGTATCAGAGCAGATAATCACAACTCAAAGGATAATCGTAATTAAGTGACCAAATCTTATTCAACTAATAAACAACATGTCTTGACGTACATTCACCTCCAGCTCATATCCAACCATCATCTATAGTCCATAGATGTATGTAAACCCAAAACCATTCTAACTAGGCAGACACCCAAACTCCACCCTGATTACTGTCCTTGTTCGAGCGAAATAGTATTCTCGAATTAGGGACCACCACTGGTACTCACACCGATAACCGCCAGGGCCACGGCCAAGTCGAATGGCTCTGTCTATCCCTCTTTGATAACCAGTCATAGTCTTCATGCTGCTGAGGCCGTCTTGTTGCCAGACTCATTCCCTGCTGAAGCGGCTTGGAAACCACCGAAGCCGCCGCGACCGAAACCACCTCCGTTACCGCCGTTACCGCCTTGGCCGCCCTGACCACCTTGGCCACCCTGACCACCGCCATTCTGGTCACCACCTTGGCCGCCTTGATCACCTCCTTGACCTCCGTTTTGGTCACCGCCTTGGCCACCAGCATCAGCAGCTTGGTCTCCTCCGTTCTGGTCACCGCCTTGGCCTCCGTTTTGATCACCTCCCTGACCTCCATTCTGATCACCACCTTGGCCACCAGCATTCTGGTCACCACCGGCATCAGCAGCTTGGTCTCCTCCGTTCTGGTCACCGCCTTGGCCTCCGTTTTGATCACCTCCCTGACCTCCGTTCTGATCACCACCTTGGCCACCAGCATTCTGGTCACCACCGGCATCAGCAGCTTGGTCTCCTCCGTTCTGGTCACCGCCTTGGCCTCCGTTTTGATCACCTCCCTGACCTCCGTTCTGGTCACCTCCCTGACCTCCGTTTTGGTCGCCACCTTGGCCACCTTGGTTGCCGGCGTTCTGGTCACCACCTTGGCCGCCGCCCTGACCTCCGTTGTTACCGCCCTGGCCGCCCTGACCTCCGTTGTTGCCACCATTGTTGCCACCGTTGTTACCTCCATTGTTGCCGCCTCCGTTGCCACCTCCGACGGTGATACGGATGCAGTCATCCTGTGCTCCTCTCTGAGCAACAGGCATGAGGACAGGCTGATGGTTGGATGCGGCAGACATACTGCAGATACGGTAGTTACCGGCAGGCAGACCACCGTCAACCTTGGCAGTGAGGAGACCTTGGCCGTTACCAGCATCGTTGATGCCCTTGAAGAAGGCAAACTGCTGAGGGTCCAAAGGCTGAGTAGGGTTCAAACTATCACCCGTGTCCTGAACAGTGACGTGGGTATGACCGATGATGTTACCACCACCGTCGAGGTCCTGAGGAGCGGAATAGTAGGTGGTTGTTGCATTAGTGAACGAGCCAGGTGCAAAGTTGATAAACTGCACTGAGATATCAAAGTCTTGGTTGGCTTCAACATTGTCACCGTTTTGAGGTGATGTGAAAACGGAGGAAACCATGTTGTTGGCTCCTGGAATCTTTCCCATAGCTGCAGGAGTCAGTACATGTAGAAAGGACAGAGGATATCATAAAACTTACGAATACCGTTACATGAGCCGTCTCGGTTCTGCTCTCCATTGGTAAGTGTTTGACCAGCACAGAAGTTGATGAAGTTGTTGTCATCCCTGAGTCTTGTTAGTCGTCGTTCTTTTCAAGCATAGGTAGAAGTGACTTACGTTGCAGAGGCAGCTTGCTCGTCCGATCCGGGATTGTTGCCATCTTGCTGCGAACCAGTTTGCACGGCGTTGGCGTCCAGAGTGTTGCCGCCACCGCCGCCGCCTCCGTTATTACCGCCGTTGTTGCCTCCATTGTTGTTGCCTCCGTTGTTACCGCCATTGTTGCCGCCATTATTGCCCTGGCCGCCGTTGTTTCCGCCATTGTTACCGCCACCGCCGCCGCCACCACCTCCAAATCGACCACCGCCGAATTGTCGTCGTTGGAGAGCGCGAGCCAGGGGGTGTCTTTTTTGGACAACAGCAGCTTCTGTGATGGCAGAGATGCCCAGAAGAGCAACGATTACGCCTTTGACCTGCATCGTGATGACTGTATGTTGATCTTGTCGAGAGAAAGTATAAAAGGAAATGAAGCCGAGGGCAAATACAATGTTGTGTAAAAGTTTTCGAACGGTGCCAGACCAATTCGAAATAAAGAAAAAAAGAATGGTCACAGTAAAGTCAACTTGGTCTCAAAGGAACGAATGAAAGAAAGAGACACTACCAGAGCTGAAGAGAAGAGAAGATGGTATGATTTTGGGACGAAGGGACGAGGGTTTAAAGCATTGGGGAAAACTGGAGATGATGATCGGAAACGAAGATGCCGAGAAAAGAGGCTGGCTTTCATTATGACAATCCCAGACAATTCAACGTCTCGGGCTTGCACATCAGACCGGATGGCATCTGGGCGGTTGAAGGGGCCCGGTTCAGGGTCACAACTCCATGACGACGGCTGAAGCGAGCAATAGTACCCAAGATCTATCTCTCGCTTGAGAGGCAAGGGGGCAGCGATCAAACTTGATGAGAAACACCAAGACAGAACATCGTGGAACACAGTGACAGCACTAGCTGCGTAGGACTTCTGAGGCCGAGAAACGAAAACATGAGACAGCGGCAGAAGCAGCCTGATGGCTTGGCCAAGGGGTCCAGAGATGCCTGTTTAGGCTGGGCCATCAGTTAGTCAGGGCAGGTCAAGATGATTGTTCTCAGGTGGTGTAACAGGGACGTTGGAGAATGTTAGTCGATTGTGAGCAAGTGTAGTGTATTTCTTAGCGCTTGGCTAATCTTGGCGGACGGTCATATCTCCGAGAGGCGATTGAGTGAGTAAAAGTAAAGGTTCAAGTTAGGAGTTCATGTTGGAGATGAGATGCGGCTGCAGACGTCTCAGCCCGTGCCCCCTCCTTCCCAATTGGTATTGTGTAACTGGTTGCGCAACCAATCACAGTACTCGCTGACCTGTACCTGCAGCAAGTTGCCAGGGGTGCCTATAATTCCAGGCACAGCGCGTTTCGGCCACTAAAGCTCGAAACTATCATTGTTAAGCGCGAGTGTCGGAGAGTGTCCACCCTGTAACGAAAAACTCATCAACCAGATCGAGAGAATTTGATGAATAATAGACGATGCCCTCTCTGGGATGGGGATTTTTGTATTGCCCACTATTGACTGTGTGATTATTCGTTCTGTTTCTAATGTCTAGGTAACTGATAATGCCAAGAGAGGAAGCCTAACAACCCTAGCTATACTGCTATATCATATTACATGATATATGTTCATGAGTTACTGTCAACAAGTTGTCTAATATTCAGAAGGATTCCTCACTTACGTCAACAAACTCAGACATATTGAGTTCAGTCTAATCTCATCCAGACTTTTCACTCAGATCTAAGCTCTATCCAACCAGTTCTCATGGCTGACTGACAGTTGGAGGCGTGTTGCAGATACGTCGCAGACTAGCGATAGCATGAATGCCCTACATTGGCGTTGCAACCACGAGGTAGCATCCAAACAGTGCCCTGTAACCGGACCTGTAACAATATCTCACTCAGTATCACGATTGTATTTTAAGCTTACAATATCGATAAGACATTCTCGGTTTCCCCAAAGTTCCTGTTTCATCCGCATTTTTGCAAAATCCTTCAGCAATGGTTGAGTGATCACTCGTCTCAGGCTTGGAGTGACATTGGATGAATCATCATCACGAAGCGAGCCTGAATCATTCAATTCTCCTAATTGAAAATGATGTCATGTTTTGAAAGGCTAGACTAAGGCATGATTGATTCCACATGGCATGGCATTTCGTGGTCTTGGCATTCTCGCTTGAAGATATCACGAAAGCATCAAAAGAGCCCAACTATATGTTCAAAAAGCGTGCATTCTCAAGACCATAACACATTGATTCATCAGAAGCTACCAACCGCAAACTGTCTCGAACATTCCAATTTACAAACAACATAAATCAGAGCTCCTCGGACATCTGCCTCTGCTCAACATCCTTGTAAGCCTCCACGATCTTGTCCAGCCAGGCAGCCATTCTGTAACCGGCCTTGGCAACCTGCTCCTCAATGACAGGGGCAGCCTTTTCAAAGTACTCGCCTCCGAGTTCCTGACCGACAATGGCATCGGCACCCTCGGGCAGAACTGTAGATCCATGTTAGAGACGAGTTGCAAAGAGAGCTGCTGTTGCTGGGGTAATCGGCTTACCATGTGTGCAGACGAGCGCATTGGCCTCTCGGGACCAAGCAAGTGCCGTGCTGATGGGGTCACTGAAGTCTAGATCCTTCAACCACGCGTCTTTCGCCTCTGCGAACTTGCCGTCTGTGATCTCGACTGCAAGCTGGTTGGCCCAGTTGTTGGCGAGCTTGAATGGGCTGCCGTGCAGACCACCCAACAACTTCTCGGCAATAGAACTGTCCCAGACGTGGTGGAGGTTGAAAGTGCGGCCGTCAAACGTTACTGTAAGACCGTTGCCTCCCTTTTCGACATCTTCGTTATGTAGAGGCTGGTGAAGATCTCCGATAAAGTGAACGACGAACTTGGCGGCTTGGTTGCGCTGCCAGAAGGGCAACTGAGGCTCAACTGATTGTTGGGTGTAGTTCTTGAGGGCGGTGAGGACACAACCATCGTCCTTGCAATCACGCTCAAAGTCGACATCACACTTATTGGGTGGGCTGTCATGAGCGTCGATAAAGTGAAAGGTCTTGGTGTATCGGCCCCAGTCTGTGTAGCGAATCGAGTCGGCCCATGATGCTATTTTCGCGAGGTAATCTTCCTCGTCATTATAGAGAATATACTTGAGGTGAGCCTCGGTGGTGTTTGCGACAAAGTGGCTGGCGAGATAAGCGGTGGTGATATGGCCGAGACCTGTGATATGTGAGCTTACTAAAGAATTGTTCTACAACGAATTAATGAACTTACTGCCCCAAGCAAAAGTGCTAGGCAGGTTAGCGAGGCCAAGAGCCAGCGCGCCAGCTGAGAGGAGCTTCATCATAACAGAATGAGGGTGGTTGCTGGGTCTAAAGCTATGGAATGCAGCGGGTTTATCAGTCACAGAACGAAGAGAACAGAATCAGAGCTTCAGAAAGGGAAATGAAGATGTTAAAAGATAAACACGCTTAAGCTCAAGGTTACGGAGTAGAAAGAGGCGAATTCTAGATTGGACCCAAGCGTTTGAAGCTGGAGAGCTGAGCGCGAAGCGGTTGGCTAAGGCTGCCCATGTTTACGTTAGTCTGGAGCATGATCGATAGCTACTCATGAGTTGTCAGGGGTCTAGCTACTGGAGGCGGGATAGGCAAGCTTACGGCGAATCATGGTGGGCATGTGCCGCTCTACGGTGAAACATTGAAAGTGGCTGGGAAGAACGGAGCTGAGACTGCTGAGTTTTGCTCTAGTTGAAGAGCTGAGCATGATGATTTATCGCAAAAGCAGTGGAGTTATGCAAAGTATTTAGAGGTTACTGCACAAGTCTGCCAATATCATGAGTTTAGTATCACGATAAGAATCAATCGGCCTCTTATCGGAGATAGACCCTGCATCTTGCAGTACAAACTCACCTCACACAAAAAGACTCACGCGCCTTGGAATGCCTGCGAGTTCTCCATATTTTAGCTCACAAGATCTCCAAGCCCAGTGTGTCACTTTGAACGATAAGCGCTCCTCAACTGGCCAATACACGATGACCAGTTACCAAACAAATCGATAAGACCTCCACTGTTGAACCCGACAACGGGACCTGGGGTTTTCTTATCTGAGTCTGTGTCTGCAGTGCTTTGCCTTGGTTTGGTTTGGTTTGGTAACTTTGGTCAACCGTTGTTCGTGCAACAGTAAACTTTGTTGCTTGTTGAATATTTTTGCTCTATTCATTCTTTCTTGTCTTCAGAGAGTAACCAGTGAGATTGACTCTCTGAATCTTGACCAGGTTTCGAGTAAACTCTGAATCAGAACAGAACCTCTTTTGGAATTGGATCTACATTTACTTACTTCCTACACCTGATCCTTCTTTATCGCTGGCTGTCCTCGTGATATCCACCTTTGTCGCACCACCGTCCTCCTCTTCCACTTGATCTACCTTATCTAAGCTTCTTCTCATTCTCATTCTCCTCTCGATTTACCCTCTTCAACTTTTTCGACAACGACGACGATGCCGCTGCTGGCTTCAACCTCAATCGCCGCTGCGGCGCATGCGTTACCGGTCACGTTGGCTCTGTCGGGCATTTTTGGTAGCATCAGCTTGACCTCTTGGATATGTCTCCTCGTGCGTCCCTCTCTCTCCTCTCATTCGCGCGTCCTTGTGTTACATTCACAATCTCAATTGCATGCGCGACCCTTAATTCTCCCCATCTTGGCTAACGATGCCCTGCAGTTACCCCAATTGTTCGCCAATTACAAGGCCAAAAGCGCCGATGGCCTCAGCATGGCCTTTCTGGTCGTCTGGCTCTTGGGCGACATCACAAATCTCATCGGTTAGTTCTCATTCCTACCTGTTTCCCCAAAATCAAAATTTGTCTTCGGCACAGAGACAAATGCCATTGCTACGCCATTCTCTGACGCCCTGGTCAAAAAATTTGACGTCGGCTAGAAGTGGCTTGCCACTACGCCAACTTTCAGTTTGACTAACTCTGCTTCTTAGGAGCCTTGTTCACCCACCTAGCTCCCACCGCAATTGCCCTGGCAGGATACTTCTGCATTGCCGATATCGTCCTCATCGGCCAGGCCGTGTACTACAATGCCCTCAATGCACGCCGAGCGAGTCGCGCCGAGGAACGTCGATCAAGTGATCCTACAGAAGAGTCTCCTCTGATCAACGGATCCCGTAGACGAAGCTCTTCATTTGGCCTCCCTGGGTCTCAGCGCCGCCATGCGACACATACCGAGTCCTCGATGGACCCATTGAGGAAGATTGTGACGGGCGAAGACGAAACTCCCGATAGCAAGCCTTGGCTTCACAACACCCTGAGCCTGCTCGCTGTATACGTCATTGGGTTAGCTGGCTGGTTTGTGTCGTACAAGGTCGGTGCTTGGGAGAGTGGTGACCCTGGTACCCCCGATGCACCTGAGGAGGCCCAGAGCCCAATGGAGCTTGCTGGACTTATTCTGGGATACATCAGCGCAGCGCTTTATCTCTGTGCTCGAATTCCCCAAATTATCAAGAACCACCGGGAAAAGTCATGCGAAGGTATGTTAATCCATTTTGGCAATCAATTGACGAGACTAACAATCTGCAGGTCTGGCATTGCTTTTCTTTATGCTCTCAATGAGTGGAAACCTCACTTATGGTATCAGCCTGGTAGCCTACTCCCAAGACAAGAAGTACTTGCTTAACGCGCTTCCTTGGTTGCTTGGCTCTCTGGGTACCATTGCTGAGGACCTCATTATCTTCGTTCAGTTCCGAATTTACTCCAACGGTGAACGAGAAAGCGCAATTGAACCTTAAATCGCGATCGACAGGGCAAGACATGGCAATTAAACTCGAGACGGACGGACGGAGGGTTTTGGAGGTTCTAATGTGCATGAACTGGCGTTTCATTCATTCATATGCATTGCATTTCAGATATTTGTTACATCAAGGGTGAAGCTTGAATAAGCTCACAATCAATACTGGGACATCCTCAGGATAGAGGTGCATGACATAATGTTTCGGGTCGAATTATAACTCTTCGGAGGGTTTTTCTTACTTATCAATTCAATGAGTCTTTTAACATGTGTTTTGCCAGTCATTAAATGTTCTAGATGCGACCAATTGAAAAACTGAAGCCTTTAATTCGACGATAAACTCGACCCATGAGAGCATTCTCATGCCATGGTGGGGTTACACTGTTGAAATTCGGCGACTCAGCTCCGATGACGGGGTCGGAGGTTTGGCGGGGTTATATACTACTCGGTACTTTCATTAGACTCACTCGCCTCAACGCCAAAATTTAAACATCAGCAACCTCCTAACGTATCTTTGACTGACTCTCTTGATCTCTTCTCCGTCAAGAGTCTCTCATCGATTCTATATTATACATACACCGACAATGGCTTCTCAATTCCCTACCAAGAAGTGCGGTATGTCGCCCTCAAAACTCCCCCTCCATCCGATTTCGCACCACTATCACTTCCCATGACAACCTCTACATACGTATCAATTACCAATACTAATTCATCTACAGGTGTTCTCGGCGCCACTGGCTCTGTAGGCCAGCGCTTCATCCTCCTCCTCGCTCAGCACCCATACCTTACCCTCCACGCCATCGGCGCCTCGTCTCGCTCCGCCGGCAAGAAGTACAAGGATGCCGTGCGATGGAAGCAGGCTGCGCCCATGGGCGATATTGCCGAGATGGTTGTGAGAGAATGCAAGGCTGAGGAGTTCAAGGACTGTGATGTTGTCTTCAGCGGTCTCGACTCTGATGTCGCTGGCGATATCGGTATATCCCTCGCTATCACGTATCAGAATAATCGATCACTAACTTCGCATGTCTGCAGAGCTCGAATTCATCAAGGCCGATATTCCCGTCTTCTCCAACGCAAAGAACTACCGTCGCGATCCTCTCGTGCCCCTCGTCGTTCCCACCGTCAACCTCCCCCATCTCGACCTCATCCCTCATCAGCGCTCTGTTCGCTCCCTTAACAAGGGTTTCCTCGTGTGTAACTCCAACTGCGCCGTCATTGGTCTCGTTATCCCCTTCGCCGCTCTCCAGGCCGCTTTTGGACCTATCTCTACCGTCTCCATCGTTACTCTACAGGCCGTTTCTGGTGCTGGTTACCCTGGAGTCTCTAGTATGGACATCATCGATAACATTGTCCCCTTCATCTCTGGCGAGGAGGACAAGCTCGAGACTGAAGCCCGCAAGATTCTCGGTCGCATTGATGACAAGGGCACTGCTTTCATTGAGCAAGAGGGTCTTCGTGTCTCCGCCACTTGCAACCGTGTTCCTGTCATGGACGGCCACACTGCCTGTGTTAGCTTGAGCTTCGAGCGCAAGCCTGCTCCTTCAGCTGAGGAGGTTCGCAAGGCTCTTCGGGACTACAAGAGTGAGGCTCAGGCTCTCGGATGCCCTTCTGCACCTGAGCCCGCTATCAAGGTCTTTGGCGACGATGAGCCTGACCGCCCTCAGCCCCGTCTGGACCGCGACCTTGGCCGTGGATACACTGTCAGCGTCGGCCGTGTTCGCGAGGATGAGGCTGGCATCTTTGACATTAAGTTTACTGCCCTGAGCCATAACAGTGAGTCTCACATTTTCCCCTCTGAGAACTTATCTCATGCTGACTGTTTCAGCCGTCATTGGAGCCGCTGGTTCATCGATATTGAACGCAGAGGCCGCCATTCTCAAGGGTTACATCTAAGAGTACAGGGTAAAGAGGGGTTTAAAAAACGAATTCGGTTATATAAAGATAAAAATAGACAATGGTATTTATTTGGAGTTCAGCATTATCACAATCCCTGCAAATAGGTAACCTCACAAAACAACAGCAGAACTGAGAAGCGATGTGAATTGCTAATTATTCATGGTCGTCCGTAAAGTACATGCAACAGCCGACTATGAGGGTATACCTTGTCTATTCCTATCCATCCCAGCGCAAGTGTCTTGACACCAATCGTGCGCGACCCATTGACTGTAACCAAATTCAAATATGTGATATTCTAAAATCCCGGTAATCCATGCTGTGCTCTGTATCCCAGTGCGCTAGCTATCCACCCATTACGCCAAATAATAACCAAAGAACTCCAAACGTATACAAACAAAACGCCATGTCATATGGCTCACCGCCCATAACAAGCAGGGTATCTGTAGCATCATCGGTTGCGATCCTCGGGAGAGGGGGACCTTGCCCTGCCAAGGCCACTGGAGAAAATACTGAGCCAGCCATCGTGTCGGCTCCATCGTGAAGTTCGGGTTTCAGTGGTAAGCAAGCCTTGTTCAAGATCGGATTCACGGTCATCAGAACGAGAGCCAGAACCCTCTGCAATAGTACCATCATCATCGTCATCATCGTCATCACTAGCATCGTCTCGATATGGTTCATAATGTGGTTCAGATGATGAGCCATGAGCAAGAGATCGGACAACGTCACCCTTGCAAATGGGGCAAGTTCGTCGGCGAGTCGTCAACCAGGGAGTACTATAGATTGTTAGCAATCAAGACTTATAAGTGTGAATTTGGAGCACTTACATGCACTCAACGTGAAACTCGTGACCGCACGGGAGGCTCATGACCTGGCTCACGCCATCCACGTATTCTTCAAGACACACCACACATTCGACTTGACGTCCCATGTACTTTTTCCACTCAGCAGAAAAGCCACCCGAACCCTTCTCGCGCTCAGATCGAGCATTATTTCTGGTTGGGTTTGAAGGTGTTGGTATGGCGTCACTAGATCGCGTTTCTTCCTCGGGAGTATCCGTTGAGCCCCTCGATCGAGGTCGTGGCCGTGAAGGAGATTCTTGAAGTAGAGGAGTGGTTGGAGTCGGAGCGGACGGCGAAGGAGTTCTCGGTGTCAAAGTAGGCGATGGAGCGACTGTATGAAAAGTGCGCACGGGCAGGCGTTCAACGACTGACTTCGGAGCTCTCCAGCGCCTTCGGCGGATTCTGGCGCGGAGAATCAAAAGGGCGTATACGAAACTCAGAGTGACTAGCGGGCTAATGACCAGTACGAGAAGAGTATCGAAAAATGGGCTAGCATTACTCGTGGGGGTGATGGTGACCCAAAGTCCATCGTGTGCGTCATTGTCAGCTTCATCGGGCTCATCCTGTCCCTCTTTGCTTCGTTCGTGGGGAAAGTCGAGCACGTTATCCTCATCCTCAGTCAAGAATTCAACCAAAATTTCTTCCTCATCGGGTTCAGGATCGTCATTGCTTGTGCGATCGCGAACAAGGGAAGCCTTGGATGGAATAACAGGCTTAAACCTTCTGGACCCAGGATGCTTCCAATCGTCGTAATTATCCTCAGATAAGAGAGGGCTTCGAATGTCCTTGGGTGACCCTCTGACAACTTTGTTCTTCTTGGTGAATGTTTTCCTGGAATATCTAAGCGCTGTCTTTCGCTTTTTGGAAGTTGGTTTGGTGGATCGTTCTTCAATTTGGCTGTCGTCGGCAGATCGTCTATCGTGGGTCGAAGCGGTAATCGTGGACTTGACGCCTTGTTTATTGTGCGTCTTTGACTTTGGACCCCTTTGAACTCTAAGAACAGGATTACCTTGGTTATCTAGTGTATCTTCAATGAAGCTTCCCGGCTGTGTTAAAGCAGACAGTAGCTGCGCGGTCGTGCGAGCAGTGAAAACGGATGGAATGGTGACATTATCGACCTCAGGGCCATGCGCAAACATTTGAATAAGAGGACCGCCTTTCTGGTTATCACCAACAATGACGGCGAGAGCGCCTCTCCGCTGCGCCCACATTACTTTGTCGAGAAAACCGCAACCGCCTCGCATTAGTAGCGCCACTTTGCCGTCGATTTCGGAATGGTCATGCATGACAGAGACATGGCTGGAGGTGGTGTGACCATTGCCAGCGTTGGGGATAACGACTCGGCTTCGCTTGGCACGCTCAGAAGTGCTGGACCCGGGAGTCGCAATAGAAGGGACAGCAGCCCTCAAAGCCTTGTGCAAAGCAATAGCTTCTGCTTTCTCATTCCATCCTGGTGTATCGCTGCAGCCCAATTCGCCGGTACCGTGTATAAGAGCATCCTCTGCGAAACCACTGCCCACCCATAACTGACCACTTAGACCGCGAATAGCGAGCCTGGGGCCAAAAGCGGCGGGACGGGCGGCAAAGGAAGTGCTGTTGTCGTCGGTCAAGCTGATGGCAGCATTTGGTGGAAATAATGAGAATGGGGTGTTGTAGTACATGGAGTTCCAAACGGACTTTGGAGACTTTTCTGAATCATCATCATGCGACCGAGGCTGAGACGACCTGGAGTCGGTCTTTTGTCTGGACCTGAAGTTACCAGCGGGGTAATCGGCGTAGGCGGTACGAAGCGAGGATGATATAGCGCGACAGAAGAGTAGGAGAGAGGCTGCAATAAAGAGTATAAGAACAAAAACGCGCGGAGGACGCATTTTGAGCGACTGTGCAAGAACAAAATTCTCCAAAAAAGGTGAAGAAGATGAGAGAGAGAAGGAAGAAGGAGGAGGAGGATAAAAGAGAAAGAGAGAGAGGTTGGCGTTGGTGAGCTGAGGTGTGAGTGAGGTGACCTTGGGGTTTGGTTTGGGTTTGGGCTTGGGGTCACTCGGAGATATACAAGTCACATAAACCAAAGACGTCACCTCTGGTCTAGGCTGATCATCCGTTGGTTGGTCACTCTCTTTTTGGAGAAGGAAGAGAAAGGAAGTGAAGCTCCGATGGGAATACTCGGAGACGAGGGAAAGGTGAGAGAGAGAAACTATGACATGGCCTAGGTCAGGGTTTTATGAGAGATTCGAACAAGAAGAAGAAGAAGGTCAGTATCAGTTGCCAGGCAAACGACGTGAGTGTGAGTGAGTTCAGAGAGTATAAGGAAAGTTGATGTCAGTGTGGCTGACTACAAAGTCAAATCAGTTCGATGATAGATCTCACAAAGGGGAAAAAAGAAATATCTGTAAACTCTCTTCTTGGCGATGCAAGTGGGAAAAGAGCAGATCATAAAGTTACGAGTTTACCAATTCTCTCTGCGTGTTAGTGACGACAAAGACAATGCATTCGAATCCATGGCAATGGCTGATGAGAGGGGGACAGACAAAGAGACGCACACGGCATGGTGCCGTAAGTGGAGGTTTCTGGGCGGGGGTGACCTGGAGGCTAGAGCTGTGAGCGCTGTAACCGGCACCTCAACCCCTGTCCCTCGAAGGTATCTTTGGCTTCTAGACTTTAAGAGAGCTTTCTTTGGCTATTGGCGGGGGCCACCCAACAACGTCTCAGAATCAGTTGATCAGATTATAAAATATGAGAGTTTGTCTTCTTTTTTCTACACATGAGTTTAAGTCGATGCCGAGTTAACCAGGCTTGATCTGAATGTTCCATAGTCATAAACAGAGACCAACTCAGCTGGACAATTCCCGTGGGTCCCTGTCATGATCAGGCGCCCTTCAAAACCAGGGTCTCTTTGGTCTTTGGCCTCTGTTCTGTTCTTCTGGTGGTCACGTCACGTCACGTCACGAAACAGCCTCCACTCTCTAGCGCAGGCTACTCCACTCATATCGAGAGCTAAGCTCCAAGTTAGTAAATATTCGGGGTAAACTTGACGCCTCAAAGTCAATCATCTTGTTCCTGAGCATCTACCGCAACCGTAAACTCGTGACTCGAGGCTGCAAAGCCATGGACGAGTTGCTGTGCAATAAATCAACAATTTTGGCCTGTTAACTTTGCTAGCTAGGAACGGAAAATTACATGTTCAAGGTACAAGTGCAACGTCGTAATGTGTTGATAGAGTCGCGTGTTTTGTTTTGCTGTCGGTGAAACGGTCGGGTACGTCCATTCTCCATCCTCCGTGCATGAGACGAGATGATGTGGTTGTTTCTCGGAGCCTCTTTTCTCTTCTTGACTAACAACTTTTAGCTTCTGACACGTGAGAGCGTCAGGTGAGGTCCCTTCAATCAGACAGAGCGATCAAGCCTAAGCCTCCACCCATATCTAAGGTTCTAACGGCGGACTGCGGAAGCCCGCGGAGCCATCCATTCATAATACGCTACCTCCAATGATCGACCCTCAAAGTGCTTGCGCAACACAAGATACGAATACACCAATCAAGCTCGTATAAAAACAGCTTGAACAAAGATCCCTCTCTCGTACCTGATCTAAATCTAACCCTGCCCTGCCGTGCCCTGCCTCGGCAACGTAACGGGTCTGCAGATGCAGGTCCACGTTTCGTTTGGTTTGACCTTAAAATAGATCCATTATTGATCCCCTTGGACGTGGATGTGGACCAAGCTTTTTGAACTTGTTCGTTCGTCACTTATCCCTATCCGAAGGGTTGAAGGGCTGAAGGGGCTGCTTGAGGTTGAGATCAACAATCTCTTTGACAAAAGGGATAATCTCATATTCGATTGTGTTTTTACAAACAAGTTTAAGCTTATATTCAAGTCAAATTAATGACTTGTGATCTGTCCGGCTTGGGAATCGCTTCATCGGCGTTACCGCTATCCAGCCTCAAAGTTAGGGATTGCCAGAATCGGCCGTGTAATTGTGCCACCGCGATCTGGTCAAACATGGCGTTTTTGATCCATGCCACTTCTGGCTTGCCCGGATCCAGGCCCCAAATTGAGTTTTGTAATTCTGATCGTATTGTCATTCTATCCGTGCGCCTGTACTGACTTCAGTGACTTGTGATTCTGCCTTATAGCACCGAATTGGGCGATAGTGGAGGCTATGTTGTGACATTCATCTAACCTTTTCATTAGTCCGCGCGTGTCCTATTTCCAATGCGTCTATTTGAACTCCGTTATACGACGATGCATATCCAAAAGGTCGTTATCCCTAATCAACCCGCCCAAAGCAATCCCTCAAAACAAGGCAGTAAAATGTTACGCTATATCCAATCATCATCTGTGAATCATTGCCTCGGCTCATAACCTCGATCCAATCCGTTGGTTGTACCCACGCTCAACTAAACTTCTGGCTGGGCCACTCCGTCTGACCCGATCACCTTGCCAACATCCCAAGCCCTCTTCTCACCAGCCTTGGACCATTGCACATTGTCCGCAGATTGTTCATCTGCACCACTCGCACGCTGTATTTGCTCGTCTGCAAAACCGGCGTCTTTTAGACGTTGCCCCTGATTCTGTCGCAGCTTTTGGCGGTCTCTAAACGCCTCAACCGCATCATCCCAGTCATTGCCAACCTCATCCTCGTCCATTTGTATATCGGTTTTGGGATCGTATGTATCAGAAAATCGTCGATCGATACCCGAAGACCCTCCCACTGTTCCTCGACCCCGGTATTTCGGGGGCGGTGCGGGTCCGATCAGATCTTCCATGGCATCCGATCCCTCTTCCTCTTCCGTCCGCTTGCGGTCTTCCTGCTTATCCAAAGGCGATCGATGTCGATGCTTACTCTTAGATTCCCTGGGCGATCGAGACCGTCGTCGGCTTGTAGGTGATCTAGACCTGTCTCTCCGTTTATGACTGCGACGGTGATGGCCTTCTTCTTCGGAGTCTCTGTCTCTGCTCCGTGATCTATCGCGCCGTCTGTGATCTCTTCGTGACCCATCCGACCGTCTCGATTCATCGTCAGTCTTACTGCGACGATCGTCGCGCGACAGTCGACCATGTTGTCGCCGCTCGCTGCGTTTATCTGTAAAAAGGTCGTCTGATTTCTGGTCGTGTTTGCGTTCCTGCTTCCGATCTTTGTCGGCGCGTTGCGAATCTCTCCTTGAAGAAGGGCCAGCCTCATCTTCGTTTCTTGGCCGTTTCTTGCCACCTAAAATGGCATGAATATCGCCCATCTGCCGCCGTCGAATATCATGAACACTAGGGTTTGTCTTGCGCCGCTTGATTTCTTCTGTGCGCTCAAGATCCTTGAGCCGTGCCTTGGACTCGGCGGCCTCTTTGGCTAACAGCGCCTTGTTGTGATTGTCGGTATCTTTAATAATATGTCGTAGAAATCGGGTGTTTGGTTTCATCATATTCGCAGGTCTGAAGCCATGTCAGCAACAGACTTGCCAGAATTGGTGGGTGTTTGTATTACTTCTTATTCGTGTGATATGCTTCCATACCCATGGCTGAATATTTGAGAGAGCAGTCGCTTGCCTCCTGCGCCAAGAGGTCCGCGACATAATCGTCGGTTAAAAGTTCGTCATTTTTCGACATTTTTGATCGGGGTTGATAGCCTAGGAGACGCGCCAGTCGCAAGATATGTGTACCGCCCAGAAATTGCGCAAAAAAGAGGTTGTAAGTTGACGTTGCAGCTCTTGTGTTTCGCTAGAAGTGCTATGCATTGATGTCAGCAGTATTCTGCCCCTCCACACCGCCTGTGGTTCGAACGGTATTCCACTAAACCAAATTAGGTTTCAAAGTAAACATATCCACGTTCAACTAAACACAATCGACTTTCTGTCACGAACCTAATAATTCGTCATAATTTGGCACAATATTGCTGCCTCTTTAAGTTATAATGAGTCAGCCGAACCCAGAAAACGTTCTCGAAACCTTGAACAAACTCCAGTCATCACAAGAAATCTCAATCATAAAACTTAGTGAACCAATCTCAAGCTCAAAGCCTCAAGATTCCAGACAACGAACATCAGATGCATCAAATTCAGCCTTTGACGCGCCAACTCCGGCAGGCTTAACAGCTGATCTTGCACACTACAAAGAACTGTTCGCCAAACTGCGCTTTTCATATGTGCAACAAGTCACGAAGGAAAAGTTCATCCGAGCCATTGTCGGTGATCCACCCATGATTGTCACAATGGAAGAGAACCTGAAGCTTGAAAAGGAAAACGCGGTTGTCAAGAAGCAACTCAAAGAGCTCAAGACAGAAGTGGCGGATATGGTGGCCGACCTTGAGAGGAGAGGTATCGAGCTTAGCCAGAAGTACGAGAGTGTGCAACTTGAGACGACAAAGTTGCGCGAGATGCCTACAAAGATCGAGGAGTTGGAAATGAGGATTGAGCGATTGCGCACAGAGCTAGAGACCCCAGAAGGATCCGCCCCCAGCATGAATCTACCTCTAGTCAAAACTCAGGATCTTGTCAACCAACGCAAGCTCGAACAACAAGAACTGGCGCGAGAGCTGGAGTCCTTACAAGCCAAGGTCCCCCGGAAGAGAAAGGAGGCTGAAAGACTTCGTATCGAATTACAGCCCCTTGAAAACAAGCGCCAAAACAGTGCGACTGCTGCGCGTGAGGCGAGGCGGAGAAAGGAGGCGGCTTTGGGTGGTGCAGCGGATGACCTGGAGGAGAGAGCTCGCTGGTGGAGAGCGAGTGAGGGTGTGTTGACACAGGTTTTGGACATCAAGAATTAGGAGATGCGAACACGAATGAAGATATGAGATATCACGATATGGTCGGCGTTGTGAGGGTACGGGACATGGAATAGGGGTAGAGGCCTTCAGCATATGTAACGCTGCCTGGCCCTGATTATTGCTTTGGTATGGTAGATCAGCTAATCATTTAATGTTGAAAATTCTGTAGCACGTTATTTGTGGTTCTATTTAATGCAACTTGTGATAAGTTCTGATGTAAAACGGTGTCTTTCGCACGAAGGCTCGATCGGGTGTTTGCAGCACCATGTAGTCAACTATACCGATACTGTGCTCCCATTAGAGATTGAGGTGCTTTCTTGAAACTTCTTGTATGTTCTATATAAGGGTGCTTTGGATTTGAGTTCTCTTGACCTGTCCTTTAATGCATATATGCATCTTTGGCCCTAGAACCCAGACTCATGTGCTCGTAATACCCTTCACAATTTAGACATATTTGAAATGTCTGCACATAATGTCGTGAGTCGCCTTTCTATATCTTGGCACCAGGCACTGCAGGCAGCTTGGAAGCCGAATATTGGTTCTTGATACCCCAGAGGCATGCACACAACCACAGATGATGCAAAGTCGTCGTTCCCAGGCATAACGGCAAACGATACGTAGAAACAATAGAGGCTCGTGGATGAGTTCAGTAGTAGGTTCCTTCTTTCGTACACGGAAGAGATCTCGGAATACTAGTAAAACTTTCTTTAATGACTATAGATACAAGTCGATGACGGCTGGGCATATGTGAGGTCCACAGCAACAGCACCTACACGCAGGACGATTATTATGATTATTTCGATGGTCAAAAATAGATAAGCTCTTTCAAGGCAATACCAGGTTTATGACTCTGTCTTCTTCTAGTGAATAATGTCGAGTATTGGCGTCTTTCAGTTGAGTGTGCAAGTTACAAAGGTGGCCACCAGATCTGAAAAGTCCTTCCTCAATTTGACTATTAGCAGATTCATATGTGTATCTCACTGAATGTCCGTACTTTGGCATACATCTTTAGCCAAACGGGTGTAAGAATGCTAATGTCGGGGTAAACTCAACTTCGTCTTGATCGCGATGTCTAGTTCCCATCGATAACGTTTACATCGAGTCAGTATAGAACATTTATGGATATAGTTCGACTTTTATATAAGCGATGACTCTTTTTAAAGAGTCAAGAACTTTCTTCGATTCTTGGCCAAAGATTCGCGATTTTGTAACAGCATTCCACTTCATGCATAGACATATAGAATACTGCTCTGCCGCAGTGGAATAGGACAGCTCATGATTATCAGTATGTATCTTGATTACAGTGAGTTTTAACCTTCGGCAGGAATCAGCAGACTATTCTGAGCTCTTGAGACATTTCGTTCCTTGAGGCTGTGAGAGTTCCTCGGCCAGTGAACGAACAGTCGTTCCATCATCAGAAAAACATCAGTAGTATCCAAAGAGTTTAACCGGATTTTAAAAGAATTTACATCTCCTCGATAGCTGTAGTCGGAGTATGTACAGTACTGAACATGAGGAAAAAGACACGCTGAGTAGGAGTGAAGTGTCAAGTAAAGTCAACAGCGAGAGGCAAACTGTTTCAGCAAACCCGCTCCATTACGCTGATCAACTTTGTTTCTCAACAGAAGCGTGTATTATGACACCCTTTCATGAATTCAGTGCAATGTAATACTATTATTGGTCCTTCTGGGCTATGTATACTCACTTTTTGTGAAATCTCACCAAGATCATCATATTGTGCACCAGTGAGGAAGAACCACCAAGGCAACGCCTCTCTGTAGGATATCTGAAACTCAAGAGATCTATCCTTGGGAGTTATTGATCCCTCTAGCGCCATGATAGATATGTTGCTGAGTGACAATTCACAAGATCACGGAGTATCTTATGCAGTGGCCTAAAACCATAACAATAGAATAGGCGAATTTCATGCTGCTACTCTTGACAACTCGAAATGCATTCCTATTTGGGACATTTCTCGGATACATATGCTCGCTCGGGCTCCACTCAAGGTTGATTGTCAATACATCTCCTATCTGTCGGCCGACCTTGGTAACATGGGACAAGAAAAGTAATACAATTGCAGTTTTGGCGCCAGCTCAACATGGCTGACATGAGGGCTTACAAGCGTGATTTTGATACCATGTAGTAATAAATAGATGTTGTGTAGATCCTATTTTCTGATTGGGTTCCAGACTTTGCCAGCAGATCAAGTCAGCACTAGATCTACGGGGCTTTTGAAGCTAGGTTTTGAGGGTATCTTGTAAAATGCCTAAGCGAAGGTGGTAAGAAACAATAATAGGTGCAATTCGGCTCGATTAGTGCTTTGATGAGCAAGGCATAATAATAGTTGCAGTCAGTAAACATCAAATGATTGAGTTGAATATACTCGGCCACATTTTGAAGCCCGGTCGGTCACTAAAACCAATACGCGTACTCACCCATGAGAGTTTCAGAGGTCGCAAAATGTTTACGCGGGGAATAGCAAAGCCCGACCTGCATACGCATGCGTTTTTACGGGCAAAGCAACTGTGCGACACTGACACTTCAAACGCCGGGACCCGATAAACAAAAGGCGTCCGTCTAACAGGTGTCCCTATTATTTTGTCACTCAAGGGTTCAACAACCTCCATAGCCACAGCCAAGGCCGAGGGGGGACATTGACCGAGCCAAGGGCCAGCGCCACAAAGACAAGACACTTTCCCAAGGCTTGGCTGCCTCTCATTCTCGGATTGTTCCACGTAAACAGAGTTTGGGAGGGGGATTTCGTATATCTCGGGTTTTGAGCCCATCCATGCACGTGCGTGGATGCGCCCTCTCGACACAGCTCGACCAGAGCTTTACTTGGACAGGGGATGAGGGAGGATCAGGATAACCATGACTGGTCGAATGGGCTTACTCAAAACGGGTTGCATGTAGCGCACCGCTGATTCATCAGGGGGTCGAATACGGCCTCTACTTACTACGTAGTACGGCGTATTTGCTTGGTAGAGTTTTTCAAGTGCCTTGGCTGTCGTGTTGATACGTGGACGAGCGGTCTGAGCCTCTCCGTCAGGGAAATGAGAAACTTGGCTTAAGTTAACGTTAAACGATGGATGCTATGCCATGTCTGAGGACAAGTTTAGCTGCGGGGTGTGTTCGGAAACTGGTGGGAATCATTGGAAGAATTGAAGGAGGGTGGTTCAATATGGCAGGGACCCGCGGGTTTTGTGCGATTGCGGGTGCAACGTGAGGAGTGAATTGAAGCGATGAGTATTGTATGAGGCTTGGACTCGGTGTTGAACATGCATAAACACACATACGAAAATGAAGTTGAAAATGTTGGTTGAGGTGCCGATCCGTGTGAATCCCTGGTTGTAAATCATCAAGGTTGAGTCCACAGTCTGCATAGATTACGTATTGGAGTTGATCTGCAGGCGTTTAATCGTTTAGTAGTTGAGTTACATATATTTTGACAGTAAGATATGTCGATATAAAGCCACATATAATGATATGATGCATCTTGTATGTCCATCAACCCTCCTATATCGTTCTCGCTATCGCTTTGTCTTCGCTTCGCTTCGCCATGTGCGGCACGGGAGTTATGCTTGCCCGCCGCTCCCGCATCCCGGCCCCACATCTGCACCGCGTGGCCGTAACGAGCGAGGCCCACATGTGACCTTTTGTGTGATTTTTTGTGATTTTGCATCGCATTCAATGTCACAATGCGACTATGCGAAAACGCGTATCTCGAAAGAAACCAAAATATTCCCTCAGCCTCAGATCATTAAGACGCATTGGGTAGTCTGTCTGCATTGAGTGTGATCTGACGATTGACTTCTCAAGTAGAACCTAAAGTAAAGTCTAATAACAAACGAGCTTTGCGAAGAATGTCGCTTTATCCCATGTAATTCGCTTAGTTTACGAATGTGACCTGATGGTTGAAACTCAATGCTCAAGTCCAAGACAAAGGCAAAGACGCAAGGCGTAGCGCAATCTGATCTACCTGCTGCCGTCGACTTTATCGAGATCGCGCAAAGATTTCTCCAAAGAGTCATCGCCGAAGAAGAAGAAGAAGGAGGAGGAGGAGGTCAAACCCTGAATCTAACACACAAAGCATCCATCCTTAAACCATTCATTATCCCCAAGAGGCAAACAGTCCAAATTCTCTAGCAACACCCCTGATCTGTCTGATATGATGGGAATCGAATGTCTCTTACCCCTTATTATCCATATCCCAGCCCTAACCCGTCTGTTGGCCGAGGCCGTCACCGTCCGTTAACCCCACAGCGCCGGAGGGTAGCAAAAGCCCGAAAGCCGGACCCCAGTTTGACCCCCACTTTTTTCACTGTCTCTGATTTTCTGAGTCTCAGAGTCTGAGTCTGAATCTGAGAGTCTGCGTCTCAGATGAGATGGGGGGAATGCGAGGTTGGATCTTCAACTCCGCACTCCGCGTCCGCGGGGCACTTGGGGCTCCGCGGACAATCAATCAGTCCGCACCGCAAACATAACAGAACAAGAACAACAAGAACAACAAAGACACCTCCTGACTATTTTCGCTTTTAACAAGGATTCTTATCGCCATGAATAACCTTGTTGTTGAGTTAACTGTCTGTCAATGATATTGCTCATTAAAGTTTGTTCACTGTTTGTTGTGGTACAGTCTCACTGTTTTTTGCTACTGTAGCAATGGGTGGTGATGATGTGTAATCATGATGATGCTGTCGTATGTTGGGGCACTCGCTTGCAGTCAAGTGCAGTGCAGGATGAGTCTGTCTTGTAATAAATGCCACTAGAGGGCGGTATCATCAGTAAGCGTCAGCTTCAAATGTCTGTCAGTTTCGTCCGTTGTTTGGTCCGTTGCGGCTTTGGTCGCCCACTCAACAAGACGACTAACAGCACCTTAACTTAGGGCTGACACTGAGTGACACACATTCCCAACCTTGTTCGAATGGCGTTTTTGTTGCTCTGTAACAAGCCAAATACCCGCAGCGGTATCCGTATGCTTAGTTCAGAAAAGGGCGCCAGCGGAATTCATATCAGCCCGTCTCGCGCGTGTATTACTCAACCGGTAGCTAATCAGTCATCAAATCGGCCGCCCCTTAACCCAATGGACCTTATACCCAGACTGGCAGTCTTTTCGACACTACAGTCACAGCACAGCACAGTCAAATTCCTAGATGGATGTATTTGCTATTGTAAGCAGTGTCGTCAAATTTCCAATCATATCCACCTCATCGTCTACCGTACCCAGCAGCCTCAATAGGAACACCAAAACAACCAATCACGCAGAGACTTCCCTCGTGGGATTGCAGATGATGAATGATGACTCTTATGCCCATCTGGACTAACGTTAATATCTAGCACAAAAGGGGAATGCGAGTCTACGGGTCATTGGCCGTTGGTCATCGGCACATTGCAGCTCCTCTGCCGGATTTACGGCTCAACGTGCATCTTTCTCAATAGATTCTCAAGGCTCTGCACCTTAGCTCCGGGTTTCCGTGCTAGCACCAAATAAGCAGAGAGGTGTGTGTTTAAAATCTGCCATTGACTGCACTGCACCTAAGCTCTAAAAAATAGCCCGTCTTGCCTTGCTGTCTCTGATAACAAAGTCTTTTTTATCATGCATTCGGCCTTTCTGTTCCTCATAGCTTGATTTGCAATCACCCTAGCAAAGCTGATTCATTGATTAGCTTAACCATAACCGTTAAGAATAACCACGTTTACCAATTCGATCAATCACAAATGGTCCGTGCCAAGTTCGGACAAATGTGAGATGTGTGTGTGTGTGTGTCCACGGCATTTGCACGGAACCGGAACTTGACAGCTCGGTGATTTGCGCTATGGATCTTCAAAGGGCCCTGAATCAAAGAACTAGAGAGAAGGAAGGGGACCAGGGATTGCCAAGCGAACAAGTGGTCGAGACCATCTCAAGTGACGTGTGGTCAAATGCTCCATGATCTGATGGAGGGGGTTGATGTGCCTGTGGCTTAGATGCAGTAAAGTATTAACTTATTAACGATAGTTATGCTTTTGCGGGCGGCTCAATGGGGATGGTTGGATTGATGTGACTGCATCCCCACAGTGACAATGAGATATGTGATGAGACAGGATATGTACAATACAGTCAGTAGCGATGGCAATCTGATCTGATAATTTAGGGAGTCGGATTAGGTATGTATCCATATGATATGTACAAGTCTATCCAAAATATGCATCCTTCCCAAAACCCTATTCCTATCCTCCCTTGGATGGCGTGATTTTTATCTCAACTTTGCTCTCTGTGCTTCTGACAGAGGCTTGTGCCATGATCATGCTCGTGGTTGTCATTCCACATCCGTCTTCTTGTATCATGCAATCTCCAAAAGAACCACGTTGCCCTGTCCTGTCGTGGCGTCGAGCTGGGAGCTTTGTACAAGTATTCCCATATCCCGTCGGCAGTCGGAAAACATACAACGCCGCACCGAACCTCACACGTGTGAGGTGAAACCGTGCCTTTAAACACCAAACCCCCAAGGGTATAAACCCAAACGAGAAATGAAAGCCCAGAAAAATTGAATCCCGATAAACACCGTGCCGCGTGACAAATTTTGACGTAACAAAGATGGCCGTAAACAAGTCTATAGTACTGTACAGTCAAGTGTTTATAGTCGCATCTGCTCAAAGTCGCATGGGTTCGCCGTCGTAGCCAGAATATATCATTGGATCGCCCATGCCCAGCATAACTTCGGGGTTGGGACATGACAGGACGTGAGGCTTGATTGTTCCAAATTCTGATTCGACGAGGCCCTGGTTTAACAAGTCCATGTTTGCCATCATGCCATTTTGTTGTTGCTGTTGTAGGAATTGCATGGTGAGGTCGCTAGGCTGGGGTTTGGTCATTGTCCAGGCGGGAAAGTTGCTCATGGCGGGTGACTGCGAGGGGAACAGGCTCGAAGCATCAATCTCGGGCGGTGGAGGGGCAAAGTCGAAGTCGGCGCTGCCTGTGAAGCTCTGTGGTGAGAGGGTCATAGCATTGGTGTTACCGAAGGCGGCCCTTCGATAGTCGTGCTCAAAGTCGGAGTGATCGAGCTCCGATGATGACGCTCGCTCGGTTCGGTTGCACACGGAGGAATCTGTGTCCTTGATGGTTTCCTTTGCAGGTTCGTGCTCCTTCTGTTGGTCCTCGAGCTGTCGAGCCAACTCAGCCATACCAGCTTCGTCTTCAGGGAATACTGAGTGAACGGGGAGGTCGATATCGCTGTTGGGGCGGATGCAGCCAAGCTTCTGGGCGATGTTGTGGATCACGGGCTGGCCGCGGTCGTTGAGTTCGGGCTCTCCCAGGTCCCAGGACTGGTTATTTCGGACCATTGAGTAGAGCTTGTGGACAGTAGCAATGAGGGCGAATTGTGTGTTCTCGAGAACTTCGGCGTAACTGTTGCGTGTAAGTGAGATGCAGACCAAATTGGGAAACCTGAACACGTACCCTCTGGGCAATTGCTTGTATTCCATCTTCTTTCGTACACCAGCTGTGCAGACTAGACCGTCATCTTTGCATCGCTTGCATGGAAATTCACCGTCGCACTTGAGTTTGTGTTAGTGAGAGGTGGGGCTAAAGAAATGTAGTACTAGAAACGTGCCTTGGTCTTCTTCATTCGGCATCTTTCACAAGCCTTCCACACACGCTTATGTCGACCGTCCATGCCAGTTGTATGTGTGACATGGTCGTGGTGATGAATTGTGGCAGCACTTGAGCTAGCTCTCTTGGATGTGCGGTGCACAGGCTTGACAGACTTGGAACTTGACGACGTGCTCTTTCGAGAGAGGGTCGACTTATGATCCTCGGCGGGAGGAGACGGTAAGCTACCTGATCCCATTGTTGCTGTAGCTATAACTGATATGCCTATAATATACCAAGCAAAGTTGATTGAGGCGATATACAATCCAGGTTGTGGGTTGTGAATGGATTGGGTGGATGTTGAGTGGTGTAAGCCAGTTGTAGTAGTAAGAGTACCAAGCACCTGGGACAGGAGTGGATGGTGATGTATGTATATAATAGATATGAAAGCTGAAGTGGAAGAGGAGGGGAAGAAAGAAAAGAAGGATTCGAGCAGCTTAATAATAGTTGTAGGCGAGGCCAAGGCAGGTCAAGTCAAGCAAGGTTGGATCTTGTGTGACTGGAGGTGACTTGGCGACAGGACAGTAATAAGTGAATTATGCGTAGAGAGAAAGAGAGGGCCTTGAATTATTATGGATTTGAGTTATGTATTATGTGAGAACGAGCGATCCCGGTCCACGGCGCTCGGAAGGTTTTCGTAGGGTGTAGACGTTAGAATAGTATGAATACATCAGGTATCAGAGTGCCCGCGCGCTGCGGTATGAGTTAGGAGTGAATGAGTGAAGATGAGTGAGTTATTGGGAGGGTGTGTAGTTAACGGTCGGCGTGGTCATTATGTCCGAGAAGGCGAGAGAAGTGCTAGAGTGCTCCATGTTGCAGGGATCGTCCAGGGAGTCGAGGCTAGCAGGGGTCAGGATGGACCCGCAGATGATGGATGTTGATGTTCTGTTGATGGTGATGGTGTGGATCCTGGAAGTTTGAGGCACTGGAGCGACCTAAAAGTCCGCCGCCGTCAACGCGGGCGGACTTAAGAGAATGGAGGTACGTACTGACTGACTGATTGATTGATTGCTTGCTTGATTGATTGTGGTGGTATAGTGATGATGGTGATGGCTGACGGGAGGCTTGGATGCTCCCTAACTGCTGGTGCTTACATTGAACCTAAGGGGTTATCAGTTGAGTTAACCGTTGGAATACAAATTGATTGGGCGCCCATCAAAATGAGGGACAACGCGTTCTCAGGGCGCAAGCAAATTGTACCCAAAACTCAAAGCATAGAGCGAGGCTGATGAGTGTATGATGAGTCTCTGCCAAGCCCAATGCCATGCCATGCCCTTGATCAGCATCAGGGTGCGAGACCGAGAACGAGCAGTGAGCGAGCTAGGGGCGTTTTTAGACGATCCCTTTTTTCTGTCCCTGTGGCTATACAACAATTACAATACGGAGTCTCTCACTGAGCGCGTATTTTGCGTATAACATCAAATCACTCGCAAGGATTACAATGCATCGCTGACTGCCGTACCATTTGGCTCTGGCTCAATTTGATTTGATGTCGCCATGGTCGAAGCTTGTTTCTGGTTTCAGAACGGCACATGGTACTTATTTGCGCTGCATAACACTACACTCACTACACTGCAATGTACAGTAAGACGGGTTGATGCTTATTGTTGGATGCGCAGATGACCCAGCAGAGCTCCTACAATCTCGGACTTGATTACTTTGTACAACAATTCCAACACCATCATCACTAAATTGTAAGATATTGGATGTGTGTAAGACTGTACCCCACAGGGAACCATGCGGCTACTTCTAGATACGTGTATATATAATTAATTCCTGTCGTCGTCTTAGTCTACTACTCAGACCGATCTTGTCATCATGCTCGATTAACAGACAAGTTGCTGAAGCATCATCATTATTATAACCAAGCAAGATCTGTATGCCATCTCGCTACGATGCATTGCCCAGAAACTGCATCTTGATCAATGGTGGAGGCCCAATCATTCAATCAATACCCACACGTACCTATGGGGATCCATCTCCCTATCCTGCCCACTTATTGCCGTACTTCCACCGCTGTTGTCGCCACTGACCGAATTTTGGTGCTTCTAGAAGGGTAAGGTGAGCATGAGAATGAGCCTTGGGTCTTTTGATTGATTGAAACGAGTTAGGTACGACGGAGTCTTGTCGGCATCCCGCGCGACCGACCTCCGTCATCTTCGGGGCCGCTTTACGTACCTTGACACCTTTGGGTAATTCCATCTCATCTCTTTTTTTTTTCTCTTCTGAATATCCACATTACCAATACAGCGGATGGTCGCTAGTTTAGCTCGGGGTTGCCAAGAGGAGAGGAACTTCCTCTTGGAACCCAATGACAAATGGCGATTGCGTCTCCCCTTTGGGGGGGAACCTTGAGAATCCATCTCCATCTTTCAAGAAATGAGATGTGCACCCACGACCCCGTAACAAGGGCTCTCGCGCTCCCAGACTCCTAGACTCCCACTGACAGGCAAGGATGTTATGATCCCGCGACCTTGTTAAGGTTCTCATGGCCACGCTGTGCGGCCGTTGCACAACCAAAACGACACCTCACCAGCCATACATACCTGGCGGGCCGATATTTAATTCCGTTGCTAATTGCAACCTTCTGTGAAGCGAGTCGCGGTAGTTGTCGCTGTTTGTAAGCTGCGATATTCCAGCGCTATGGTCCTGGGCCTTTTGCAACTCTGCTTTCGTAACAGGGGTCTCGATTCTCGGCGCCGATTCCAACCACCGGCGCCGATGACAGATACTCATCAGGTACGAGGCGAAATCGCAAAGCACGTTCAAACAGAGAACGATCGTCCTCCTGGAAGTTTAATTGTATGGGTCTGCCTCGGTCTATCCCATCAACTTTACATATCAAGCTTTTCATCTTCATGTTCCAATGTTCATATTCATGTTCTGATTCTCGTGTCAAGAGATGAGCAGAGGACACGTCTTATACCATGATACCATGCTTGTACAAAATTGCGGCTCCAAGCCAGAGTGCTATACTTAATTCGTAGGTTAAGGGATTGCAAACGCTGAATAAGGGACTTTGTAACCTCCGAAGTTGATTGTGTAAGCGGGCGGGATGCGGTTAAATCTAGCGCCAGGCGGGCGGTTTAGTTTCTCGTGATGAATGATGAGCGCTTCATCCGCGGTCCCACATACCAGGGACTATGAGTTACAGTACAGAGTTAAGTCCAACTTTAAGTGAAGCGAAGATTATCTATCAACCCCGACTCCGAATTTCGCTTTCACGGCAGCTTTACGAAAGCCGCCAGGCATTGAACTTTGAAGTGCCGCCCTCCGTGGAGGTTTTCTTGACCGTATAGGGCTGGGCTGGGCTGGGCTGGCACGTACACAGACAATTACTAACTTAGATTACAGTACTATACGGACGGTTGAGCTGCCGTTGATCCCCATAAGGAGGGACGGCAGTGGTGATCAGACATGCTTATAAACTCAAAGCCATGTACCGCTGCACCGTTAGATTGCCGCGATGATACCTTCTCTGCGCCTCGGATATATCAACCGCCTTTGGCAGGCGTCTTACCGCAGTTTGATGACAAACAAGACCCCAGAAGTCCGAATACCCAGAGTAGCTAACAAAGAGAGAAAAGGGGGGGTATGAAAGAGCAAACCGGCTTTAATTCCAGGTACAGTACGTCTCAGGTTTTGGAAACAAGATCGATTACCGGACTTGTCCATCTTGCCGAAACCGATCGGAGTCCGCGGCTGGAAGACTGTCCGTCTTTTGATGCAATGCAATTGAAGCCATGGACGTGGAATTGGACACGTGCATGTAGATGTTGCGTAAGTGAGATGAAGGCTGAGGTAGCAGTCGATCATTTGATCAGTTGTACAACTGCCGAATGGACGAAAACCTCCGCGATTTGAACCCGAACTATCGGTAAATAGACAAGATGCCTATTCACAAGTCCAATACCACTACCTACTGTACTGATACTCTAGGTGTAACAGAACCATGTAAAAAGCAATGATATGATGACTTCATTATGGTGTTCTTGTGCGGTCTGGAATCATCCCGCTCTTTTGAAATGAAACCTTCTTCAAGATTCTTTCAAAAAATACCAATTGCTTCCCTGTCAACTCAGATCCATTGTCAAGCGAATTCCATGTTTAATTATGGATCTTGGATACGACGAGAGCTTCGTTTCAGTCAAGGTTCAGTTGAGAACTACAGGCTATTACAAGCGCTAACCACTGAAGCTTAGAGAAAGACAAAGCCCGAAAAATGCATTTTCTGTCATCCTTACAACACAACAAGAGCTGAGGGATATTCTCAGAGATGTCCATGTTTGTGGCATGCAAGTTGTTACTGTGAATCAGGCCACCACAAGCCTTGAACCCATCGATCGATCAGTGGATGGATGTGACGGCTGTAGCGGTAAGGCTCCCGGATAGCGGAAACAAGGCCGCGAAATTTCTCCAACTACAGCTCGTGTCCCATTCTTTTTCATTCTTTTATTTCTCTCTGTCTTCTTTTTTCTTTTTTTTTTTTCGCATTCTTCTAATGCTCGCTTACCCACTTTCTCCCCACAACTCAACTCACACGGCACTGCTAGTTACAGCATCTAACAGTCGACGTCATTCGGACTTGATTATCAACAAAAAGTCCACCCGCTTAGCAAATTCAGTACCACGTTGACGTTTTAACTTGCTCAGTCAGTGCCAGTTTCGCCGACCGGCACTTGCTTTAGTCGAACTCTGTTATCGCTGGTCAAAAAAGAGGTCAATGGGCCCAGGGCGTGTTTTTGAAGTGCATGGACAGTGGAGTTTTAGTGCATGATGGTGGTGGTTCTCGGGCGGGCACTTCAGGTCAATGACACCAACACACCTAGAAAGCGAAAACCCTGATCGCCAGAAACGAGCGCTACTGTAGCCCTGCCTGCGCCTGAAGTTAGCTGGCATCCATTTTTATGTGACCCGGAAATAGATTACACGCGCCGGGGATAACGCTGTACGTCCCTGTCCCTGTCAATGGCTGAATGCGTAAATCGAGTCCATGACTCGTCTTGACTCGAGATATGCAAGTCAGTTCTGTCTGTGTAAGTGCTTTGTTCACCATCGCATCAGAACTAGCCAAGACATATCTCATTGACTTTTAGATGCAACCGTAGTAGTGCAATACGTGTAATACACCTCATTTGATCAGCATTCCATAGCTAACCTGATATTCAACCTTGATAAACAGACGCCAGAGATAAAGGCCTTGTGCAGCAAACGTGACCTAGAACGGGCGTAACGTGCTGACCTGATGTCATCCAATGTTATGATGATAACAAGGTGAGTTGAGTTTCCCGACATTGTTGGTTGCTGTTGTAGCCTGCAACAAGCCTATCTAGATCTTACCTTAACCAAGAGACTGCTAAAGCGGTTGGTCAACTCGGCAACTTCAAGCCGAGCCATGTTTTATTTTTCGCGATGCGGGATGATGATGCTGCCTGTCTCCTCGGGGACCAGCCATGACCCTATGGGATCTTGTCTTTCTCAGCCGCGTACCTTGGCTTCTCCTTTTGACCAGGTTCTTTTCCATGGAAATCTTTCTAGAAGACCGCGGGATTATCAATGCATGTTCCCCTCCATCGGCACCGGAACGGCAATGGTGGATCTATCGGGTTAACGATATCTTGAAACCAGTGAATCAACCTGTAAGAGCTGTCGGACTCGCCCGAAATTTGACGAGTTAGTCACTAAACTTTCCCCATTCATCTCATCACCACCATCACTATCACCATCTTCAACTGGTGCACGGACTTGAACAGCGCTTCGGTGCCGAAGTGGGGGTTCCTTTGCTCAATAAGGCCAGCCAACAGTGTCACTACTGCGTGCTTATCCAGAGAAAGTTTCCATGTTATCCAACATGAAAAACCTAAAGGCGTGAAATGAGGTCAGCGGCTTCCCTGATATTCAGGGCTGTTGGAGAATTAACTCGCGCTACAAGTCCCTAACGTAGATAGTGATGATTCGCGAATCCCGTTTCAATATCCCGACCTCCGTGCCGAGGTGTGGCCCGCTTTCCAAGTCGGCGTTTAAACCCCCGATGTCGAGAATATCAAGAGCCCGTCGGGTTTTTTTGCCATGCATGCAACGCACCAACTTACACGATTCGAGATTGCGAGTCTTGGTTATGTGCGTTTTATTTCCTCGGGCCGCTTTCGGTCACCTGGAAGGTGAAGCAACCCTGACGCACTCGGAGGATCAGGAAGCTGGAACGTCATATCCATGTTCACTTCAAATTTGAGGCAACGACGGCATATGGACCAAAGTCGGCATGTCGAGAAATGCCTCAATACCCATGGCTTCGCATCACATCGCATCAAATGCATGTAACTGCACTGAACTGAACTGAGCCTGTGCTCTTCTGTGAGCGAGAGCCCGCTTACACTTACACCCCCTTCTCCATTTTCGTTTTCATGTTCCGATTATCAGACACAATCCCTGGCAATCTCCTTCAAATGGAGACGTAACGTTAGTTGCTCCTGATTATTCATCTCGAGTCTGCACGCACAAGTCTAGACCCATCATTGCTTCACATATTACCAATCCGTCTTCTTTCCTAGCCTGCCTCTTTGATACTTCTTTTCGCCTCACTAAACTCTTCCAGGACGCCCCATAAGAGGCTCCCAAGAGGCTCCAAAGCACCTTGGGCCTGGCGCCTTTTCGTCCCGGTTCCTCGGCCCCACCTTGCCGGGGTGGAGCGGAAGGCTTGCAGCAACTTGAAGGCACTCGGCCGAAAACCGTATCGCAGCCCGACGCCAGGTAATTTCCGTTGCCAACGTCGCATGATATGAGCCTCAAGCCCTATGATCTGAGCTGAGCTTGGCATTGCGCTTGATGAAATGTTTGATCACCAGAAATTTTTGTCTTCTATCACTTTCACGAGGAATCACAAGCAAATTCACATGGCCATGACTCCGGAATTGAGAACTTGTCGGCTAAGCCGATGAATATCACCTTTATAGAACGGGTCTTTCGATGACTCTCTTGAAAAATGGGACTCGATGGGTCATCGAAGTTCGCCATGATCCTCAATTCCTGTTCTACGGAATTCGGTATTGAGGTTTTCCTTGTCTCTAAGATCAGCCCCAAGTTGGTTCAGCCGCAAATTTAATGTGTCTACCACGAATCCGCCAAACAGGGACCAATAACAAGACGTTTCACATAAGATAGAAATCCTATGGAACAATGTCAAACAAGCTTCGCCCCTGAAAGGCTTCCAATACCGATCATTCTCCAGTAACGTCCGAGCTATGGGTCCAATGCAGTGGGCGTATCGCAACGTGAGTGCGGATCCTCCTCGCGAACCACCCCCAGAAGGCTTATCACGCAAGACCATGTTTGGCTTCTTTTCTCTCGCCTTCGAGATCGCTTGCATCCTCATCTGGCCAGGAGATTGGTTGAGCTCAGATATTGCCTCTCGCTTGAAACTATGGGGCTGGTAAATCAAGATTCTTAGGGCCGAGCTCGTGACTGGTGGTATTCTAGAATTCTATATCCTCGGTTAAGCATCCACTCTGATCATGACAGTCAATTACATCCCACGTCCATTTCGGATGAAAGATATCGAATCATTAATTCATTATGAAAAAGTGGACGCAACAGGGAAAAAAGACATCGATCGATGTCCACACGATGCTGCTATTGTATCACCAAACTGCACCAGCAGTCGTGCACCCATGAAGAGATATCAAACCACCAGACTACTCTCATGCACTACACATCATTGTACATGATAAGCCGGGGGTGCTCCTGTTCGCAAACAGCCCATGTCCACGCGGCACTCGGAAGATAATTCATGAGGACTGCGGCTTTGTGGCCGTAAGATGCAGATTCGAATAGATTTGGATCATGTCGACGCACTTTCTCCACTGCATCAGCGGTGGCCAGTGCAAGGAAGTGTTGTCGATTAGGTCCACGGGGAAGTACCCTACTCCGAGGTCAGTCACAGCCGAGGTCTAGGATATCGCGGTGAAGAAAAGGGGAAGGGGGTTGAATACGGGGAAAACGTACAATGCGTTTCCAAAAATTCCATGGCATAAGCATGGTTCCTTGGTGAGAAGACCATGTCTCCAGGTTATGCTCTGACCTTTTTCGATGGCTGAGTCGATACGATCTTGCAAGTCAGGGAAATAGGGGCGCAGGGACGTCAGCGAGTACAAGAAACCAGGAGCGCCATGGCACCACTGGGCGAGACTTGCACCTTTGCCCTCCTTGAGACTACGCAGGCTCGACGGCCAATTACCGTCAGGACCCTGAAGCTCAAGAAGCTTTTCCAAGCGTCGGGTAAGTTGTGGAGCGAGTGATGGGTTTGAAAGAACGAGCTGTGTGATAATGCCGATGTCACCATGAGCTGCTCCAAAGTATCTCTTTCCATGCCACTCCCAGTTACCCCTCCCGTCGTCATCAGTGGCCATTATACGCTCTGTAAGTCGCTTGATCGGAGATTCTACAAGACTCTCACTCCTCGGAACCCAATGCTTCACCATGCGTAACATGTATAGTGTACCTGCCCGTCCATAGGGTATCTCTGATGGAAATGCATCTTCTTGGGGACTCGTATAGGGACCAAGAAGTATTGGTATGTTGCTCAGGAAGGTTATTAAGTGATCATCCTCCTTGGTTATGCACGCTCTCACTGCTTCGAAAGATAATTTCTCGGACGAGATGCCGCAGTTGCCCTTCTCCAGGACCAACTTCCCACGATCTCCTTCCAGGTAGCGTTTCGCCCAGGATAGCAAATCTTGGCCAGAGATTTTCAGATCTGGGTATAGTTCGGACAGTTGAAGGAACAGGTAGGCAAGACCAGTGTACCCGGTGAAGAGACCGCCAAGATGGCGTTCATGGTAGATCTCACGAGGCGGCGTATGTCGTACGACGAGTTCAAGAGCATACGTGAGGAGTTCTTTGGGGTCTGAGCCAAGTTTTTGGGCCGGAAGGTTATTCGAGATATATCGTTGAGTCATGACCGCGGTGATGACATATGCATTCGTCAGTCTCTGGTAGAAGCTATCGAGAGCGCTTTCGTGCTATCCTTATCTGGATGAGGCTGTCGTCAATGTTGGGCTCGACATGATGTTATACGCGCGCTCCTGGTGACGCATACCTTTCATCTTTTGGGGATGATCAGCAGCACGTTACCATGTAATTGGAGGAGGGGCAAAAGACGATGCTCACGCGACAAAACATACCACCAAGTACAAAGAATAGGCTCTCCAGACGCGACAGAAGAGATTATCATAGGCTCACAGGTCAGGTTTGAAACAGATCTGCCTCGTTTCAAGGTCGATCGGCTTATTATGTACAGCTCATGACAAACAAACGTCAGCGTTAGCCGGAGCCTTATAATGAAGCTCCCGAGACTTGGGGCCGATGGTGGGTCATGAGCTCCCGGTGGTGGTGGGTCTCTGGGACATTTCTTCCGGCGATCTGCAAGTTGACGTTGATGCGACGTTGGAAGTGATACAGGGTTAATAGATCGGTCTTCAAGGGAAGGAGAAAGATGCACATGGCAGAAATATTGCGTGCCATAGGAATATATGATTGATGAAACTCTTATATCAGAAGTTGTTAAAAAGCGTAACGAAATCATCATCATCATTGGTTTGTACCCCCGGCTACGTAGAAGCCTGTGACGATTTAAGGTAGCCCCACCCGTAGGGCATTGAGGTGGTAATGACGACATCGATTGGAGCTTTCTCCCTTGAGCTTCCATGGTTTAGGGTGGAATGTAAAGCTTGCGATTGCCAACCTCATTGTGATATAAACAAAGCGAAGCAGCTTCACAAGAGCACCTCTTTTTTTCACTTAGCAACATCGAAGTGTTGATGCAACGATTTTTTTCTGCACACGATCAACTAAATCGCAAACTGACTCCAACTTTCACATTTAACTACCATGGCTGACACGGCTGAGGCTTCGGGCGCTGATCACCAGCAGCAACCCACCCAGCGCAACAGAGTGGTTGACTCCGTTGGAGAGAAAGCTCAAGAGGTCTTGTACGAATAAACTGCATTAATCCTCTTCTTCTTCTTCCCGAAACTAACAATACTACCAGTAAGGAGGACTATGCCCAGGCCAGAGAGCATGTCGCCAGCGCTGCCAAGAGCCGATCCTACCTCTACCCGATCAAGGTACAGGAACTCCCCTCTTGAGCCCCAGAGAGATCATTTGCTAATGCACCATGTCGGACAGGGAATCTTCTACTTCATCTCCCATCGCTCACTTTGGAAGCCATTTGTCTCCAAGCTCGGTCCTCTGATCCTCCTCTCTACCGGTGTCATCGGTGGCATGTTCTTCTTTACATACTTGCCCCAGCTCGCCGTGCTATTCTTCGTCAACGGTCCTATTGCGCCCTTCTCTGCGGTTCTGTTGGTTCTCAATGAGAGTACCACCATCATCAACCTTGTGTCTCGCAACTACCTTCTTCAAGATGCCCTTCTCGATGTGTTTGATGGTACGCTGCTTGCTCGTGGAGATACCCAAATCGTGAGCGAGGGACGAGAGGTCAAGTCTGGAGGAGATCCGATGCAGAAGCTAGGCAAGATCATCAAGAGCCCCTTTGAGAAGTTCAGCCCCAAGGCTATTGTTCGCTACGTGATGTACCTGCCTCTCAACGCCATCCCGGTTGTTGGTACGGTGATCTTCATCCTTATCCAAGGTAAAATACACCATCAGTAATTATAAAACTCTACTAACCAGAAGCAGGTCGTACGCGAGGCAAGGGTGTTCACGGCCGAGTAAGTTGCCTAATAGTGGGAGTTTGATGAAATCTAACATTGTTCCAGTATTTCCAGCTGAAACGATGGTCGCAATCCAAGAGGGAGGACTGGCTTACCAAGAATGTCGGTCCCTACACTGCGTACGTAACCTTTCCATCTGATTCTTGGTGGCTACCTAGTAGCACAAATGAGCCAAATTTAGCCAACTGACTGACATATGCGTAAAGATTTGGACTAGTTGCCACTCTTCTCGAAATGATTCCTGTGGCTTCCATGTTCTTCACGTTCAGCAACACAGGTAGGCCATAAGCGAGCTCCCGATGTCCAAGACTAATGTTATTAAGTTGGTGCTGCCCTTTGGGCTGCTGATATCGAGGACAAGGATGCCTCGATGACTGACGGAACTGCCCCTACTCTGCGTGAAACCGCAAAAAAGGCCGAATAAACGCGTCTGTCTTTGTACAACAGGCTAAGCCTCAAAGCCACGCAACATTCAGGTCTGCGAAACATTGTGTCCAAAACATGAAAACAAGGTAATAATATGGATTTGATTTTGATCTGCTCAGGGATGGGGGTTCAAGAAATTGGAGGATACATGAGGCAATCGCGAGTTCCTGCCTTACCTAAGAATTCAGGCGAACGCTTTCACCAATACAGGAAGGAATACCCATTAGTCATATCAGCCAGGAGCCAGGAAGGAAGGAAGGGCCCAAAGAGAAGATGTCTTAGATCTAGGTTTTTTCGCAAAACTTTCATCGTCTCGATTTGTCTCATTCTTTACACGTCAACGTGAACCTCGCAACTATCCCCCATTTTTGAATCTCGAAGTCTTCGCTGTTCAAGATGAAGACGCGTCAATGTCTGAGTGCTCGCTTAAGGTCTGCTCTTGGGATCAATCAGGGGCAGAATTGAACTACCCTCACTCTTGAAACGTCGATTCCCTTTCGAGAAAATGTCAACTGCGAGTTTGAAGCCCTTGTAGTTGTTCTTGTTTTGATTGACGATGCCATGACATAACAGCTTCCAATTTTTCCACATTCGTCCGGGATGTTAGCTCAACAAAAAGAAGAAGAAGAATTACCGCCCTTCTATACGCCTGAGTGCTCAACAGAGACAAGCTAAATACATTACAGGACACTTCACCTCTGATGCGACCCGACGGCAAGCTGCATCTCGCCTCGTTGCCGAGGCTCGTTACAGGTGCTACGTCTGCACGGATGGCATGTCAATTCTGGTCTTCTGGGCCCTGAACGGTGAAACCTCCAACAACCAGGCCGTTAATCCCCAACGGTCGAAGGCCCGACGTGGTTTGTGTTCCACCGCTTAACACGACCGAGATCTCGTCTACCAACAATTTACCAATGCAAGTTAGATCCCGCAAAGCGAGTCAGAGCGAGATACGGCCGTACGAGGATTCATCTGACACAGGTCATGGGTGACTTGACGAGGCCAGCAACTGTGTTCTTTCCAAGCATATGATGACCCGCTTACTTTCGATATGTCTTGGAATATGATGTATCAGAATGTCACTCGGTATTTGGCAGGAATAGGCTGGTTCATACTCAAGTGAGAGAATTTCTGAAAGCTACCCCTTTCGTGTAGTTTCTTTTTGAGAAACATGATGGGAGATGAAGGACGTTCTGTAAGATGACACATGGAAACAATCACCGGCTGATGAAGCAGAGAAAGTAGCGAGGGCATTTCATACATGCAATCAAGCGACCATGCAACGCCAAACTCGATTTTATTGTCCGAGAAGATGGACGGAAAAGCTGGACAAGCATTGACCATAGCTGTGTGCGGTCGTTTCCGTTATGGCTAACTTCGTGTCATAAAAAGACGGAACGATACGCCTCTACAAGATCCCGGGACCGTTCCCATTGGAAGGAAGGCAAGCAATCAGTCGGCCATATGTTCTATGGGGTACTAGGAAGGCTCTATATGGCCACAAACGGTCAAAGCACTACGGACGGTGGTTCAATCTAGCAAAACGTATCCACGAATCGCCACTGCAATGACACTGAGCCAAGCACTTGTGACCCATTCGACTTTGAAATACAGCTTGTGCTCTCATGCTGTTGCAGGCTTTCAGGGGTGAGTAAAAATATCTGGTGCTAGAGGGTATGTGCCGCCTATAAGGTAACAAGATATAGTGCCCCTTTGCCTGTCACTGGCAAAATTCTTGTGACAGCTGCTGCCAGTTGTACACTTCATATCTTGCATCTTTTGCGCTGTTCATGATTCACTCGCTCCTACGTATGCCTTGATTACTTTTATTCCTCATTCTTCTCACTTCTTCCACCCCCCTTCTCTTCTTTCGTTTCGTGTATCTCGTTCTCGGGTTCTCCTCATCACCTCGAGGAAGCATTAAGGAAATAATATCCTAGAAGTCGACAATCACTCGTTTACCTGATCTCTCATTCCACTCTCGACTCTTCCGCTCGTTTGAACACTTCTGTAATAAACCCGCTCGCTGAATCGTTCTGGTGAGTTCAGAAAGCAATCTCCGCGTTTCTTCAAGGGCGAGAAGTATTCGCTAACCTCAAGAACAACAGCACTTTAACATCTTCATCATGAGACCACCTAACATTCCTTTGATCGCTGTCCTATCGGTGCTTCTACTGCTCTCTTGTCTTCTGAGCAGTACAACCGGGCTTGCTCCCCAGCAGCATCGAGGTGCTCGCAAAGCCGTGAGTGGCAACAACATCATCGAAGCTCACAAGCCCTTGGGTAACGCTCTCGCCGATGGCTATGGTCCACCTCCTCCCTATTATACTGGGGAGCCAGTTGCTCCAACTGATTCGACTTCCTGTAAGTATTACGTTCTGACTCAAAGATTCTCCTCAAATCTAATATTGTCAGATCCCTCTCTCGAGGAGTCCACTGCAACAGAAACTCAGACTGGAGCTTCCGAAGCTGGTGTGACATCCAAGCCAAATGTCTCTTCACACTATGATACTGTTTCTTCTGGCAGTTCATCTCTCTTTGTCTCCTCAGCACTCGAGACCGGTACTGCCATGATAACTGTTGGTTCAAGCGCCAAGGCTGGCAGTACATCCGGCTCCGAGGCACTGTCGAGTGTTCGCCTTACAGTTTCGGGTTCTTTCCTTGGAACTGAGACTTCCGGTGCTGAAGCTTCCTCAATTTCACTCGGTCAAGTTTCTACTATGTCGGGTACTAATTCTTCGTTGACTGGCACTTATCTCTCGGCTGGTACCTCATCACCTGGGACGGCAACTGAATTGTCTTCAGGCTCTGCCTCATCTTCCACAGTCCCCGGCTTATTTAATGAAACACAGACAATCACTGAGAGTGTATCTCGCACACAAACTGTGTCGGGTGCTGAAGCTTCAGGTGGGCTCACAACAGAGCTTACTTCTCGCCACGAAAATAGTGTAACAAAGATTGGGTCAACCACAACGACAACAAAAATGCTTAATGTTACAGTGACAGTCGTCCCCGGCTCATCAAATGGTATTTCGTCAAGCCTTTCATCGTTAACTGCCCCCATGACTGCAGACGAAACCACGACAATCACAGTCATCCCACAACAGAACTCGTCTGAACTTTCTACTGAGGGCTTTGCTACCGCTACTGGTTCAGAAAGGCACCCAACATCGGGCAGTCTGGCCACTGGATCAGCCGAAACTATCACAACCCAGAGCACTTTGACTGAAATTTCCATTTCGGAGTCAACTCAACAATCGTCTCCAGCTTCAAGTATTCCTATCAATGGAACTGTGAGCTTTACTACAACTACTGCCTACTTCACTACAACACTTGGAGTTCCTATCTCATCTTCCGGTACCTCAAATTCATCTGGCAGTTCAACACCTACTGTTGTTGCTTCTGATGATTCCTCGGGGGCTGGAACAGGAGACTCGTCAGCAATCGTGGTATCTAGTACTGTTGCCTTTTCTACCACAGTTACCACGAGCAAAACATACACTGCACTCAACGCCACTTCGCCGACCACAAGCTCGTCTTTCTCCTCTGTGCTGACTTCTATGCTCAGTGCTAGCGTTGGCGTTTCCGAGTCGAAGATTGCCACAGCCCCTGACCGAACATTTTCAGAGACTCTCTTT